CTCCGCGCACCGGCGTCCGCCGCGCCCCGCGCCGTGTCGCCGCCGACGACGGCCAACGGGCCGTAGCCCTGGGCGACGACGAGCTCGAAGAGGGGCGCGCCGGGCCGCTCGGGCGCGATCGCGTCGTCGACGCGGTCGGCCCAGTCGAGGAGCGCGCGCCGCGTCGCGCCGTCGCTCTGGAGCGCCGCGGCGATGTGCCCCACGACCTCCCGGTTCGCCGCGTCCTCGAGCTGCCGCGCCCCGCAGAACTCGTCGGCGACGGCCGCCGGGTCGTCGTCCCACGCGACGGTGAGCACGCTGTTGTCGCCGTTGAGCATGATGCGCACCGCGCGCACCGACGCGTCCCCGTCGACGCTGAAGGAGTTGGCGAGGGCCTGCGACACGTAGTCCTGGCCGGCGGCGCGGGAGACCGCGAGCGCGACGGCGACGGCGCGGAGCAGGCGGAGCGGCGCCATGTCCACTTGGCGGAGTCGCGGACGTTGGGCGGCGGTCCGGGCGGTCCGGGCGGCGCCGCTCGCCGTAAACCGGTTCGCGGACCCTCGCTGCTGCCCGCGAGCTGAGAATCGGACGACCTGGAGCCTGCTTTGGCGGCGACCTCAGTCGTCCACAGGCGGTCGCAGGCGGAGTCCTCAGCGGCCCGAGATGGAACCGAGTGAGTTGCTGTGCACGAGCCCTTCAAGATTGGCGTGAGTAGGCGCGCGCGCGGGCGCGCCTAGGCCTCCCCTCCAAGGCCTGTCCGTCGTTATCTGGCTGCCCTGGTCCTTGGAGATGGACCGGCGCCGCGGCACGTTCGCCGTCGGCCCGGAGAGGCCCAGGTACTGGCGCAGCTCGTCGTTGCTCAGGCGCGCGACCTGGCCTGAGGCCTTTTCGGCCCGCCGAGGTAATCGGAGCGCCGCGCGGCCGTCTACTCTTCGTGGTTCGAAAAGTCCTATATGAAAGGCTTCTGCAGGGACAGGAGGACGCCGTCGATCGCGTCGGCCTTCAGCAACGAGTCGTCGACCACGTCGTCGAGGTGGGTCAGCAACGGGTCGTCGGCCGCGTCGCCGAGGTGGGAGAAGGACGGCCAGCTGTCGTCATCCACGTCGCCGAGCCGGGAGAAGGAGGGCCAGCTGCTGAGGCTCGCGTCGTCGCCGGCCGCCGCTTGGCCCGCGGGGTCGCCGGGCCGGAGGGGCACCTGCGAGATGATGCCCGGCCGGTGGACGACGTAGGGGTGCGAGTAGCAGGCCGCGGGCTGGGGCGCGTAGGGCGGCGCGGAGGGCCGCTGGACGACGCCGCCGTCGACGTCGAGGTCGCCGCGGACCCGGTAACTTTCTTCGGGTCCCGCGACGTCGTCGTCGCTCGGGAGCGTCCAGAAGCGCGCGTAGGGCTTCATCCGGGGGCTGAACGGGTCGCCCGGCGGCGCGGCGCGGCGCGCGTGCGCCGGCGGCGGCGCGTCGGAGGGCGCGCGGTCCTGAGAGCGGCGCCGCTTCGGCGCGCCGTCGAAAAAAAGGGAAAGGGGGTCCGCGCCGCGGCGCTCGTACGGGTACGCGGGGTGGCGGGACCGCGGCGGCGCGCCGTCGAAGAACGCCGGGTGGTGCCCATCGAGGGGGCCGCGCGGCTCGCTCGTGGCGCGGCCCGCGTACTCCGGGTGGCGCGGCGGCGCCGGCGCGCTGTCGAAGATGTGCCGCGCCACGTCGTTGGGGTCGCGGCCGAGCGCCGGCGCGCCCTCGAGGGTGCGCCGCCGGGGCTCGTCGGCGGCGCGCGCGGCGCGGAGCGCCTCGGCGCCGTCGGGCCGCGGCGCGCCGCCGCGCCGCGAGTAGGGGAAGTGCTCCGCGTAATAGGCCGCGAGGCGCGGGGCGTCGTAGCCGTAGCCCGTGCCGCCGTAGGACGCCTCCGCGGGCACGGCGAAGCGCCGCGGCGTCGGGTAGTCCGCGGGCGGCGGCGGCCGGAACGGGCGGGGGGCCGGGCGCGAACGGGCGGGCCCGACGAAGCGCGCCGCGGCCTCGTCGACGAAGATCTGGACGATGCTGCTGCCCTCGAGCGCCTCGCACGCGCCGCCGCGGGTGGGCTTCTTCTCGCAGCGGACGCGCGGGCCTGCGGGCAGCTCCGGCGCCGGCGCCGGCGGCGCCTCGCCGGGCGCGTCCGGCTTCGGCGACCGGCCGCGGACGACGAGCTTGTACATGCGGCCCGTGAGGCCGTGGGAGACGAGGCGATCCTGCGACTCGTCGTAGCCGTCCTCGAGGAGCTCCTTGCGCTCCCGGGACCGGTGCGGCTTCCGCTTGCTCCGCGACATCTTGCAGACGGCGACGCCGATCGTCGGGTGCTCCTCGAGCCAGTGGACGTAGGAGTTGACCACCGACTGGAACGTCACGGGCACCGGGCGCACGAGGCCCTGGGCCGTCGCGGGCACCTGCGCCGCGCCCGGCGCCGCGAGCCGGCGCGGGCCGTCCGCCTTGGGCCGCTTCCGCACGACGTAGCACGCGGCCGCGCTCGCTTCGGCGGGCGACGCCGTGTCCCGCATGGGCAGCGCCGCGAGGCGCGCGTCGCGGCCGCGCTCGGCGCGCAGGAGCGCGAACGCCTGCGCGGGCGACAGCCAGCGGCTCCGCGCGGCCACGGCCTCGAGCGCGTCGTCGACGTCGTCCCACGGCGCGCCGGGCGCGCGCCGCGCCGCCGACACCGGCGCCGGGGCCGGGGCGGGCGGGCCCTTCTCCGCCTTCTCCGGCGCCTCGGCGGCCGTCGGGCACGCCGCCTTCTCGCAGCCCTGCTCCGCCTTCTCCGCCGCCTGCGCTTCCAGGAGCGCCCGCAGCTCCCGCCCGAGCCACCACTCGTCGCCGCCCATCCCCGCCCCTTGCAGCCCGACGGGGGGGCTGCAGGGCCCCGCCACCTGCAGCCCGACAGGGGGGCTTAGTGTCCTCCGCTTGTGCCTTCTCGAGGGATTGCCTTCTCGACTTCCAGACCAAAGGCCTAGAAGCAGTATCGACCGTCGCGAGCCTGTCGCGCACCACCGGCTACGGCTGCGAATGAGCCGTCGTTGAACAAGCACATCTATGAAGCAATGATGCAGTAATCCGTAGCTAAGAGACGGTGTATCGTGCGAGCATTTCAGCGGCCGATGATGGAATCTCCACCTTAGAGGACCCCGCGCTCCTCGAATATGCAGCGACGTGCAACGATCCCAGTGGATTTGAGGTCCGCAAACATGTGGGTGAGGCACATGAAAAGACGCGACATCCGGACGATTGCGAGGCGACGCAAACGGGCAGCCCCAGGGGGTGGAATGGGGCGGGGCAGCTTCCCCCGACCCGATTTTCGTTCCCCTTCGAGTCACAGAGCGTCGGGAATCGTTCGTTATGAGGGCGATCAGATGCCCTCGCGGCAGCTCTTCGGCTCGAGCGGATTTGATCGAGATCACCTGACCGCCTCCGGGAGGCGCGCGGCGCCGCCGGCGACACGGTGCTCACCGCGCAATGCATGAGGCGTTCGGTGCGTTAGGACCGAGACAGTGCCCTCGGGAACATCATTCCAGGGGGTGTCTCTTCGAAGTCTAACGCACAGCTCGACCCCTGGAACTAAGTTGGGCCCCTCGTCGGTCGCCCCCCACCGTTAATGGCCGTTCTCGTCATCCACGGGCTGTCCCGACGCGAACTAAGTTGCTCGCCTTCGACCGATGGTCTTTCCCGAGCGACTCGCAGCCGGGCCCGAGGCGCGGCAAGGTCCACAGACCGAGCGCCGCGCCAAGTCCTGGAACCGCTGCATCGCGCGTCCGAGCCCGGAGCGAGGCGATGCCGTGACGTAAAAACTTCACGGCTTCGCTGCTCTTTGAACCGGTCAACTTTAGCTTAGCCGGCAGTGGATCGTCGACAGCTCTTCAAGATTGGCGTGAGAGGCATCGAGAAGTGCGTCAAGCTCCTGAGTGAGCGCGCGCGCGCGGGGGGGGGCGCCTAGCCCCCCCCTCCAAGGCCTGCGCCGCCTGTCCGACTCGACGATCGCGAAACGCGAGTCGTATCTCCATCTTACCCGCCGTCAGGACGCGTGGAGCTCGATGGCCTTGTACGGGTGCCTGGGCTTGGGCGCGCCGAAGCAGCAGCAGCAGCACTCGTCGTCGTCGTCGTCGTCGTCGTCGTCCGCGCTGTCGTCGTCGTCGTAGCCGCCGTCGGAGCCGCCGTCGTCGTCCGCGGCGTGCTCCCGTGGTCGTCGTTCGACGACGGTCGTCGTCGGGCGCCGCGCCGGGACTTCTCCGCGAGGCGACGGGGCCGGGGCGGTCGTCGTCCGCGGCGTCGGATCGTTGGGATCCGGCCGGAGCTCGTGCGCCCAGGCGGACGCGCCGGTCGCCGGGTCGTAAAAGTAGTCGTAGCCCGAGTCCGGGTCCGTCGCGCGGACCCAGCCGCCGCCGCGTTCCGCGCCACCGCCCTCGCCGCGTTCCGCGCCGCCGCCCTCGCCCGCGCCGCGCCGGTCCGGCGACGGCGGCGGCTGCGCGTCGACCATGCGGAGCCGCTCGAGCTGGCCGGCCCACGTCGACGAAACCGACGCGCTCGAAGCCGGCTCCGCCGGGCGCGGCTCCACGGCGTGCAGCGGCGACGGCGTCGCTTCGCGCCCAGCCCGCCGCAATTCATCCGGGCGCGGCTCCACGGCGTGCAGCGGCGACGGCGTCGCTTCGCGCCCGGCCCGCCGCAATTCGTCCTCCAGCGCTTCGAGCATCGATTCGTCCTCGCCCAGGTCGCCGACGAGGAGGTGCCGGTTGTCGCGCAGCCACGCGAGGTCCGCGTCGGGCGCTTCGCCGGCCTCCATGCCGCGGGGCGGCGCGGGGGGCTGCCTCCAGTTCACTGCAAGCAGTTGAAGCTTCATAAGTGCCCAAAAATCGCCACTGGCCAATCATAGCAGCCGAACTGCACCGTGCGCGCCGTCCGAGGGCACGGCCGAACGCGCCGTCCGAGGCGCGCCATGGACGACGCCCTCGTCACCCGCCTCTTCGAGGAGACGACCAAGGCCCTCACGGAGGCCCCGTCGGTCGACATCCGCGAGCTCGAGCTGCCGCTGGCGCGCATCAAGCGCATCATGAAGCTCGAGGACGAGGTCCAGTCGCAGCTCGACGGCCGCAAGAACATGATGGTGAGCTCCGAGGCGCCCGTCGTCTTCGCCAAGGCCTGCGAGCTCTTCATCCGCGAGATCACGACGCGCGCCTGGACCTGCACCGAGGTGCGCCGCGCGCCGCGCGCGCGCGCCGCCGCCGCTCTCACCCCCCCCCCCCGGGGCCCGCAGGAGAACAAGCGGCGGACGCTCCAGCGCTCGGACGTGGCGACGGCCGTGGGCAAGTGCGACATGTACGACTTCCTCATCGACGTCGTGCCGCGAGACGTCGGCGGCTCGGCGAGCGACGACCCCGCGGCCGCCGCCGCCGCGGGGCCGCCCGGCGCCGCCGACGGGCTGAGCCCGGACGAGCAGGCGAAACAGATCCAGAACTACATGTGGCAGCAGCAGATCGCCGCGCACATGTTCTACGCGCAGCAGGGCGCCGGCGCGGCCGCGCCCGAGGGCGACGACTCGCGGAAGCGGAAGGCGCCCGACGACGCGGCCTCCGACTGAGCGCGCGCTCGTTCGGCGTTTTTTAAGCGGGCCGGCGCGCCCGCGTCGTCGCTTCGATCGATTAGAAGCGGCGCGGGGGCGGGGGCTATGGGGACGTCGGGGGCGGAGGGGCGGCGGCGCGCCGGCGGCGGGCTCAGTTGGACGCGAGGCCGAGGGGCTGGGCGACCATGTTGTAGACGACCTCCTTGGCGATCTTCTTGGAGATGGACTTGGCGTCGACGTCGCCGTCCCACCAGCCGTCGGTGCGCATCTGCTTGGCCGCGTTGAGGAGCGCGGTCTTGACCGCGTCGTACTGCGCGAGCGTGAAGTCGAGGCTGAAGAGGCAGCGGCCCGTGCCGACCCACGACAGCGCGAGGCCCTCCGCGCGGAGGTAGTACTGGAACATCCAGTGGTAGCGGCCCGGCTGCGTGAAGAGCACGGTCCAGACCGTCGTGAGGTTGTCGACGCGCATGGGCAGGTTCTCTGCGGCCAGGGCGACGTTGACGTCGTGGACCCACGCGTCGGTCCGAGCCGTCGCGTCCGCGTAGGCGGCGATCGTCGCCGGCGTCTGGACCCAGGCCAGGAACTCGGCCATGGTCGCGAGGGTCAGCGGCGCCGCGGAGAAGGTGCCGATGACGTAGGCGACGCGGACGGGCTTCGCCTCGTCGAAGCGCTTCATGAGCCGCGCGGGCCCGCAGACGACGCCGTTGGCCAGGCCGCCGCCCAACGTCTTGCCGTAGACGACGACGTCGGCGTCGACGCCGTAGTACTCCTGGGCGCCGCCGGGCGCCATGCGGAAGCCCGTGTAGACCTCGTCGAAGAGCAGGGGCACGTCGCTCGCGTTGCAGACCTTCTTGAGCTGGTGGAGCCAGGCGCGGTAGGCGTTGCCCTTCTCCGCCGTGGACCGCACCTTGGCGTCCAGGAGCACGAGATCGCTCGGCGGCGGCGACCCCGGGTTGAGGCCCTGGAGCGGGCTCACGCAGACGCACGCGATCTCGTCCGCGCGCGCGGCGATGCAGCGGAGCGCGGCCGGGCTCATGTCGTTGAGGTAGAGCACGTCCGAATTGGCGCGCTCGCTGCCCGGGCCGGGCTGGACGCCGTCCCACCAGCCGTGGTACGCGCCCGCGAACTGCACGATCAACTTCCGGCCCGTGTTGAAGCGGCAGAGCCGCACGGCGCACATGACGGCCTCCGTGCCCGACATGTGGAAGCTCACCTCCTCCTTGTTCGCGATCTTCTTCAGCGCCGGGAGCACGTCGGAGATGATCGGGTGCACGGGGCCGAGCACGTTCGGGCCGAGGTCCTTGACGCGGCTCCACGCGCGGTCCACGAAGCCCTTGTAGGCGTCGTAGCCGCAGACGTTGACGCCGTAGGAGCCGGACACGTCGATGGCCCGCCCGCCGTCGACGTCGACGAGCACCGGGCCCTCGGACGACTGCGTGATGGAGGCGACGCGGTAGCGGGCCCGCGTCTCCTTCTGGAACTGGAAGGGCACGCGGTTCGTGTCCGTGAAGCGGATGTCGCTCAGGCCCGCGACGAGCGTGTCGTTGAGCTGCTTCGCCTTGGCGCCCATGAGCGCGTCGAAGCGCTGCGCGAGCGCCTACGCGCGAGAGGTTCGCGGCGAATCTCGAAAAAGTTTCCGCGCGAGGACGCGGCGGAAGCGGACGTTGGCGCCCTTCTCGCGGCGCGCGGCGATGGCGTCGCTGCAGCCGTCGGAGTTGAAGTAGGCCTTGCCCGTGAACGAGTAGGACCGGAGCAGCGGCGCCGAGAGGCGGCTTCCGTAGGGGATCGGCGACATGCACATCAGCGTCAGCACCTGCGGCGGAGCGCGCGGTTCCGGCCACCGGTCGATGGATGGCGGCGCGCGTCCGAAAGCACGGGTACGTCCGGGCGGCGCCGACGCGGCCGCGCGGCCGCCGGGGGCCGCGGCGACCATCGCCGGCGCCTGCTTGTGTGCGACGCCGGTGTGTGCGCGGCGGTAGACGTAGCGCAGGGCGCAGTAGCTCGCGTAGGCCGCGGCGACCACCGTCGCCGCGGCCTGCGGCGTCGTCATGCCGGCGACGAGCGCAGAAATCTCGAGCATCGCGCTCAGCGGCAAATTTGAGCGCGCCAGCTCGAGCCGTCGAAGAGCAAAGCAGGCTGGCGTGGACTGCTCGTTGAACAGATGCTGAACTCAGTTTTGCCTCAGCATGAGCATGATGAGCATGGCCTCGAGGCTGGCGCTGCCGGCGCTGCGCCAGCCAGGTGTTATGGCCTCTTCGCACCAGCCGGCGCTGTCGGCGCTGCGCCAGCCGGGCCTGCTGCGCCATCCGCAGCTACCGCAGCGCCGCGGCATCGTCGCCGAAGCGGCGCAGCTCATGTGCGCCGCGCAGGAAGCGACCCAGCTGCCCTGGTGGGCGACGATCACCACGACAACAATCGCCGCGCGGCTCGCGCTGACGCCAACAACGGTCCTCGCGCGGCGCGCGGGGCGGCGGCTCGCCGTCGCGGCGCCGCACGCGAGACGGCTCACGCAGCTCGCCGTCGAGAGCATCAAGGCGAACCCCGCGGGGAGAGTCGAAGCGGCTCGCCTCTACGCCACGGGCCTCCACGGCCTCCTGAGGCTCCACCGCGCGAACCCGCTGCTCGTCGCCCTGCCGCCCGTCGCGACGCTGCCGACGCTGGTGACGCTGGCGCTCGCCGTGCGCGAGCTGCCGCCGGCGGCGGGCGGCGCGTACGCGGCGGGCGGCGCGCTGTGGTTTCCGGATCTCGCAGCGAGCGACCCGACGCTCGTCCTCCCGGCGCTCGCCGTCGGCGCGGCCTACGCGAACCTCGAGCGCGCCCTCGGCGGGCGGCCGCCGGCGGACGCGCCCGCGGCGGAGGACGCGCCGGCGGAGCCGCGCGGCGACCGGCGACGGAAGCGGCGCCGCGGCCGCGCGCCGGCCGCCGCGGACGCGGCGGCGCCGCCGCCGCGACGGGGCCCGTCGCTCGCGGCCGTCGCGAAGAACGTCGGCCAGCTCGCGCTCATCGCCGCGGTGCCGCTGACGGCGCAGCTGCCCGCGGGCTTCTGCGTGTTTTGGCTCTCGTCGACGGCGTTCACGGCGACCCAGGGCGAGGTGCTCCGCCGCCTCGACGCGGCGCCGGTGCGCCCCCCGTAGCTATGGGCTTAGGGCTTCTTCTTCTCGACGAGGGCCATCTGGCGCTTCGTCGGCCGCGTGATCGCGAAGTCGCGGAAGTAGGACCCGTCCTCGTCGCGGTCGCCGCGGTCGCCGCGGTCGCGCTTCGCGCCGGACTCGTCGCTTCCGCGGGCCCGGCTCTTGCGGCCCTGGGACCCGCGGACGCTGCCGCGCACGAGCGTCGCCGCGAAGGCCTCGGAGACGCCGAGGCGCGCGACGACGACGCGGAGCGCGTCCGCGGGGACGACGCCGCACCTGGGCCGAAATCAAATCTGCAACCCGACTTCAATGTGAGCGCATTTGACAGTTTCGACGCGAGGTTTTCTGAGAGCAATCGATTCGTCCAAGAATCAGCCGAATCGACTCCGATTTGACCGAGCTCGAGAGGTTTGAAGTTTGGCTGGAATAACCCAAACCAGCGGTTGATTTCGGCACGACGCCGCACTCGAGCATGGCCGCGTACCAGAGGTGGGAGTCGCGCACGGACGTGTGCTCGCCCGTCGCCGGCGGCGACGTCTCGGGGCGGTTGAGCTTCGTCGTGCGCCGGCGCCGCGGCGCGGGCGAGCCGCCGGCGGCCGCGGCCGCCGCGGCCTCGCGCGGCGACGGCGGCGGCGCGCCGCCCGTCGCCGTCGCGAAGGGCCGCCCGCCGACGGCGTCCTCGTCGCCCGAGGACTCGTCGCCGCGGCCGAGGACGAGGGCCTCGCCCGGCGCCAGGCCCGCGGCGGTCGTCATCGCGGCGCGCTCGTCGTCGGCCGTGCTTCCGGTCCGCACGGCGTCGCGCCGCGCGGCGAGCTCCAGCCCCTCGGCCACGGCGGCGGCGAACGCCTCGCGCGTGCAGCCCGCGTCCAGATTGAAGGCGCCGCGCCGCGCCGCGCGCCAGGACCGGAGGGTCTTCAAACCTAAATCGAAGGGCACGACGCGCAACGAGTCGACCTCCGCGGCGACGCCCCGCCCGACGAAGAGCACGCGCACGTCGCGGCCCGTGAGCGTGCCGCGCCGCGGCACGGCCTCGGACACGGCGCAGGACTCGCCGTCGAGCGCGAGCACGCGACCGGGCCACCAGGGGTAGTGCTCGAACTTTGCGAAGACGACGTCGCCCACGCTGACGACGCCGTACTCCCGCGGGTCCGCGCAGTCCGGGCAGGCCCAGTCGTCGGGCACGGTTTCGAGCCTGGGCTCGCAGCACCCGAGGTGCCACCAGCGGCCGCAGTCCGCGTCGCACTCGATCAAGTTGTCCTCGTCGCCGCCGCTCTCGCAGCGCACGCAGATGATGTCGCCGAGGCTGTCCTCCTCGGGCGACTCGCCGCCGGCGTCGGAGGAAGGCGCCGCCGTCGACGGCGCGGCGCTCATGGCGATGTTGTGGGTGTCTGGCGGTCGCGGTGGTCGTGTGGCAGCGCTCTCCGGCGCGTCGGACGAGCTTTGCCAGAGGGCTTGACCACGGCAGGATCCTGAACCTTTCGGCTCGAGTGCAACATCACTACGGTGCACTGCGCTCTCGGCCTGCGGGGCAGCCCGCCCGGAGGATGGCGCCCTAGTTCCGCGCGTGGAAGGACCCCATGGTCGCGCCCGGCGACGTCTACGAGGCGACGATCGAGAAGTCGGCCGACGGCAAGCTCGGCCTGACGATCAGAAGGGCCCAGGTCGACGGCGGCCAGTGCCTCGTCGTCTCCAACGTCGCCGACGACGGCCCCGCGGCGGCCGCGGGCGTGCACAAGGGCTCGCTCGTGCTGGAGGTGAACGGCGAGGCCGTCGTTTTTGCTGGGTCCGACCCGTTCTCCGTGCTGGGCGTGGCGCCGGACGAGGACGCCGCGGGCGTCCGAAGGGCGTGGCGCGAGAAGGTGCTCTTGCTGCACCCGGACAAGGGCGGCGACGCGGCGTCCTGGCACACGATCAAGGCGGCCTACGAGGTTTTGAGAGACGAGCGGTCGCGGAAGCGGGCGAGCACCTGTAGAGTGGGTGCCGTCGCGAACTGGGATCTGGCCGTACGTTTGATCGCCGCGACGTCCAGCGTGCGCGTGAAGCTCCTCTTACCGCCCCTCTGCGCGCCGACGCCGGCGTCCGTGGACGTGGACTCGGACCTGACGGCGTCGCCGACGAAGCCGCGGAAGGGCACGTTGGACGAGGGCCTCTCCGACGCGGCGTCGAGTTCAGAGCCGTCGCGCCGCGGCGACGAGGGCCTCGACGACGCGGAGGAGTCCTCCGAGCCGTCGCCGCCGGCGACGCCGCCGCCGACGCGGCGCCTCGCGTCGCCGAAGCGGACGCCGCCGTCGGGGGAGTTCGGCTTCGACGACGCGCCGCCGATCGACCGGCGCGACGGCGACGTGTCCTGGCACCGCGTCTTCGACGCGTCGCCCGAGCACGACGACGGCGTTTCCGGGGCGCCCTTCGCGTGCCTGTCGACGGCGCTCGCGGCCTGCTACGGCGGCGAGGTCGTCGAGGGCGAGGACCGGCCCGTGGAGTACGTCGACGAGCGGCCGCTCGCGCCCCCGGCGGCGCCGGACGCGTGGCGCGCGGCGATCCTCGCGGACCGCGGCGAGGGGCCGAAACCGAAGACGATCCACGTGGACGTGGCGCGGTCCGCGTCGCCCGACGCGTCGCCGGCCGCGTCCCCGCCGTCGATCCCGCGCTTCACGTCGCCGGGGCCGCTGCGGTGCCTCCTGGCGAACGCGGCGCAGCTCGAGGCGTCGCTCGCGACCCAGGCCGAGGCGACGGCCCAGGCCGCGCGGAGCGCGGAACACGCCGCGGCGTCGGCGGACGCCAATGCCGCGGCCGCGCGCCGCGCCTGCGACGAGGCGCGCGCGCGCCTCGGCGACGTGCGGCGCCTCGCGGCGGACGCGCGGCGCCGCGGCGCCGGCGCGCCCTGGTCCGCGACGGACGACGCGGTCCTCGAGCTGTCCGCGCGCGTCCGCCGCGCGTCCGCGTCCGCGTAATTGAGGTTCAATCCCGAGTTGAAGCATGTCCCGGGATATGTGAGCACGCCAACGTTACGCCCTAGGCCCGCTTCCCGTTGGGCGGCAGCCCGAGCTTCTTGCGCACGTCGAGGAGGCACCGCTTGATCTCCTTGTTGTAGGGCTCGTCCTTGAGGCACGCGACGAGGTCCTTCTCCGCGTCGCGGAGGCGCCGGAGGCCGATGTTCGCGGACGCGAGGCGGAAGCGCGCCTTGACGTTGTGCGCGTCGAGCTCGACGGCGTGGGCCGCCTCGTACTTCGCGTCCTTGAACTGGTGGAGCTTGAGGTGGCACATGGCCTGGTTCGACGCGGCCGCGGCCTCGATGCCTTTCAACTTGCGCATCTCGTACTCGGAAGCCGTCGCGAGCGTGTCGTCCTCGGGCATCTTGCCCGTGAAGGGGTCCTTGAAGAGCTTCTCGTTCATCGTGACGCACTTGCAGCAGTCCTGGGTCCGCTTGTAGCGCCGCGCGGCCTGCGCCCAGTTCTTCTTCGCCGCCTGCGCGTTGCCGCTCTCCTTGGACTCCTCGGCGAGCTCGATGATCTCCCGGGGCATGGTCAGGTCCCAGGGGGCCTTCTCCTTGTCGTAGGAGATCAGTTGGAGGTGCGCGTCCAGGTTCACGCCGACGGCGTCCGCGGGCACGGCGTCGTGGTCGCCGTAGCCGTAGTCCGCGCGGATCTCGACGTCGGCGATCTCCCCCACGCGCATGGACTTGACGGCCTCGTCCAAACCCGGGCACAGCGTCACGCGCGGCAATTCCTTCTCGTCGAACCAGCCGCCCGCGACGTCGAAGCCGGACTCGTCGTAGGCCGACGACCCGTCGCCCAACAACTTCATGATCTCGCCGAAGCGGGCGTCGCGGAGCTTCCACCTGGGCAGGAAAAGGGTGCGAAATTCCCAACTTCAAAGGCTCCTATCTCGGTCGTTTTCCACTCGTTTCGGCTGATTTTTGGACGAGCGATCATCTCTCTGAGCGCTCTCGAAGCGTGGGTGCTGTTTTTGAAACGCGCGCGCGCGGAACACTCACGTTGAAGCGACGTTGAATCACCATTTTCCTGCCCTGGCTTCCACGTCGCGTAGGAGTTGTCGAAGTCGTCGCGATCGCCGAGCACGGCGACGACGACGTCCGGCGCATCGCTGAGCGACACGTGGCCCTGCACGCGGACGCGGTCGAACTCGTCGGGCGGGTCGCTCTTCGTGTGGTGGATGGCCTTCATGATGCGCTTCACGACGGCGCCCTTCTTGTCGCGGACGACGTCGACGGACTCGACCCAGCACTTCATCTTCACCTCGTAGACGATGCGGTCGCGCGGCCGCAGGCCGAGGTCGGGCAGCCCCCGGACGCCGTGGCAGTCCGCGTACATGGTGAAGCGCGCGCGCTCGCCCCGGCGCATGGTCTCGAGGCCGAGGCGCAGGCCCACGGGCGTCCCGTGCTCCGCGTCCTCCGCGAGCCACTCCGCGTCGTCGTCCTCGTCCAACGGCTCGACGGTGCCGTCGTAGGGCAGCCGCAGCTTGTAGCTATAGTAGATGTCGCAGCGCTTGTTCGGCAGGGAGAAGACGTCCGTGCCGCCCTCGCCCTCGTGGACGACGTGCTTGAGCACGGAGCCGTCGCGCTTCTCGGAGACGTCCGCCTTCTTCGTGAAGCTCAGCAGCTCGAGCTTGAAGAGCACCGTGGCGTTGCCCGGGATGTCCGGCGGCGAGCCCATCTTGCCGTAGGCGCGGTGCGGCTTGATCGTCACGTCCGCGACCTGCGGCGGCGCGCGGACGTCCCGACGTCGCTCGGTTCCCGCTCGCTTCGGCTCGTTTTTGGACGAGCGACGATCTCTCGGAGCGCTCTCGACGCGTGGATTGTCCGGAACGCGCGCGCGCGCGGCACGCTCGCGTCGAAGCGAACCGCCCCTGGTTCGCCGCGCGGGCCGCGGCCTCGCCCTGGTACATGGTCTCCAGAGCGTCGGACCAGCCCTTGATGTCGTCGTCGGAGCCGAGCGTGACGAGGTAGTTGCGGTGGCACATCTTCTCGCTGCGCATGCGCTCGTCGTCCCAGCCCAGCACGTAGCCCTCGTAGGCGATCTTGCACTGGTCGCCGGTCTCCGGGTGGCCGTACTCGACCTCGACGTCCGGCGCCTCCTTGAGGATCTTCTTCATGACGGCGCCCGTGCCGAGGACGTCGATGGCGTCCAAATCGTCGTCGTCCATCTCGATGACGTCGTCGCCGCAGTCGAGGTCGCGGGGCGCCATGGCAGGCGACTTCGGCGTGTGAGGCTGTGAGGCCGCGGCATCACGGGCTGCTTCGACAGCAACGACGCACCGCTGCACTTGCAGGCAAGAGCGTCGATAGGTTGAAGCGGAAGGCCTCGACGCGTCCCCTCGTCGCGCCGCAGACAACATGCTCCGAACCCTCGCGCTCGCGGCGACGGTCGCCGCCTGCGCCGCCCTCGCGCCCGCGCGGAGCGCGCCGCCGCGGCACGCCGCCCTGCGCGCCGAGGGCCTCCACGGCGACCAGTCCTGCTTCCTGCCCCTGCAGCAGCTCGACGACCTGAGCCGCTGGCCGCGCCTGCTGCGCGTCGCGGGCGTCTACCCGGGCCTCACGGCCGACGAGGTCGCCGCGCCGCCGCCGCCCGCGCCCGCGCCCGAGGCGGGCAGCTGGAACTACGAGTTTCCCGACGCGCACGGCGCGGACTACGGCGTCGTCGCCGTGCCGGGGAGCGACATCGTCCACGGCCTCGCGGACCCCGTCGCCGTCATCGCGTCCTCCGGGTCGCTGGGGCTCATGATCCCGGAGAAGGAGGTGCTGCTCGTGCTCGACCGCGGCGACACGTGGTACGAGGAGCGCCAGTTCTTCGCCTACGCGGACGGCGCGGGAAACGTCTCCATCCGCCGCATGGACGGCGGCTACGGCGAGGACGCGCCCGACGGCTACACCATCGCGGGCCGCGTCGGCGTCATCAACCTGCCCTACGACGCCGCGACGATGGCGTCCAGCGGCACGTGGCTCGAGGACGGCGGCGCGGACATGTAGGTCGGTAGGGTCGGCGCGGCGGATGGTCGCGACTAAGGCGCCCACCGGTCCGGAGGAGAGGGGGGGGCGTACTAGTACTAGTACGCGGCGGCGAGGAGGGGCACGGCGTACGAGTACCCGGCCGCGGCGGCGGCGAAGCGCGCGGCGGCCGGCGACGCCCCTCGGTTTGAGGAGGGGTCGGGGCGTGGCGACTCTGGAGCGTCGCGTGCGCCCCCTGTACGATGCACCGCCCGGAGCGCTCCGCGCGCGGGGCGCGCCGCGGTTTTTTAGCCGCTGCAACCGAATGGCACGCTGCCAATCAGCATCGCTGTCGACACGGCCGATCAGCCTCGTCATTGCAGCACGCCAGGATCGCAACGATGCTCCGCGCCGCCCTCACGACGTCCGCGCGCCTGCGCTCCGCCGCGCGCCGCGCGAAGACCACGGACGTGGCCCTCGTCGGCTGCGGCATGCCCGGCCGGGGCATGGGCTGGTACCACGCGAAGCAGATCCTCGACGGCGAGGTGCCGAGCGCGAAGCTCACGGACGTCGTCGAGCCCTGGTTCCTCGGCGGCGGCGCCGACGGGCCCGGCGGCGCCGAGTTCGCCGCCTTCAAGCGGGAATACGAGGGCAGCGTGCGCTTCCACAGCTCCATCGCGGACATGCCCGAGCCCGACGGCCCGAAGATGGCCATGGTGTGCACGCGCACGGCGGACATGCCCGGCTTCGTCGAGGAGATCGTCGCCAACGGCTGCTCCCACGTCTTCCTCGAGAAGCCCGGCGCGCCCACGGTCGGCGAGCTCGAGGATTTGCGCGACGGCTGCAAGGCCGCGGGCGTCGAGGTCTTCATGGGCTTCAACAAGAACGTCACGGCCTACGTGACCAAGGGCCGCGAGGCTTTGGCCAAGTGCCCCGGCGGCGAGTTCACCCTCGTGCACCACAACGCCTACACGGCCGACGAGCTGCCCGAGTGCTTCGAGCGCAACGCGGAGGGCATGCTGAAGAACATGGCGATCCACGAATTGGCGCTGCTCGTGACCTTCTTCGGCGTCACGTCGGACACGCTCGGCGACGTCGTCGCCGACAAGGCCTACTCGTCCTGCGAGACGCGCGTCGGCCCGTCGTCGGGAAACGAGTTCACGGACTTCTCGCGCATCGGCTTCACGATCACGACCAAGGAGGGCGCCAAGGTCTCCGTCTACGCGGACCGCTGCGGCCTCGAGATGCCCGGCGGCGCCATGGCCGACGGCGGCATGATGTACTCGAGCGTCTCCAAGCTCGGCATCGTCCAGAGCCGCGACATCATGCCCGACAAGGAATTGGAGGACGTCGTCGCGGCGCGCGCCAAGGCGTTCCCGGACTACATGCCCTACTTCCACCTCCAGCACGACGACTACATCACGCTCAAGGAGCGCTGCTGCGCCCACATCGCCAACGGCGCCGCCGGCGCGCCCGAGGGCATCGCCACGGTCCAGGTCGCCTGCGACACGCTCAAGCTCGCGGAGACGCTCAAGCCCCTCCTCGAGAAGCAGCTCCTCTGAGCGCGCGGCCGCCAAGCGCCGGGCCGCCGACCCCGCCAGGTCGCCCCCTCTAACTCAAGTATCCTGTGCGTCTCGCCCGTGCGTTCTCGTGGCGTCGCGATCGTGTCGCGGCGCCGATCCGGACTCGGAGTCCGCGCCGCGACGGCACGCGCCGACGCCCGTACGCCGCTGCGCAGGGAAAAAAGCACCTGGTCGCTTGCGACCGCTCCCACCGCTCGGACCCGTCGGGGCCGGCGTGGAAGACGGCCTGGCCTTCGCGTTATCAGTGCAATTTCAAGTGGCTGCAACCTCGTTCAACATGCCAACCCCCCGGCTACGCCTCCGTCTGAGCCTCCGGGCGGGGTCTTCGGGTGCGCACCCCCTTCAATAACTAGTCCAACATGCCGCAGAGCCGCGCGCGTCACCACCGATCGCGATGTCCGCCATCGGCAAGTGCTACATGGCGCCGGTCGCGCTGCTCCTGCTCGCCATTTCGGCGTCGGCCCGGCTCGACGCGCCGCGGCTCCGGTCGGCGCCCAGGAGCCTCGCGCCCCGCGGCCGGCCCATCGCCGGCGGCGCGGACGCGGCGACAACGACGGCACCCCCCGCCGACGGCGACGCCACCGCCGTCTTCGCGCCGCTGCCGTCGGCGAACGAGAGCGCCGTCGCGCACACCTGGACGCCCGCGGAGACGCTGAAGCGCTACGGCACGAAGCTCGACGAGGGCCTGAGCGCCGCGGAGGCCGCGGCGCGGCGGTCCGTCTTCGGCGCGAACGTGTTAGTGGCCGCCGCGCGGAAGACGCGGTGGGCCATGCTCTGCTCCCAGTTCGAGGACCGGCTCGTGCAGATCCTCGTCGTCGTCGCCATCTTCTCCGGCGTGCTCGGCGTCGTCGACGCGGAGGATCCGACGGCGTGGGTCGACCCCGTCGTCATCTGCCTCATCCTGCTGAGCAACGCGGCCGTCGGCGTCTGGCAGGAGTCGTCGGCCGACGGGGCCCTCGACGCGTTGAAGAAGCTCCAGCCGGACCGCTGCTGCTGCCGGCGCCGCGGCGCCTGGGACGGCGAGGTGCCCGCGAGCGATTTAGCGCCGGGCGACGTCGTGTATTTGCGCGTGGGCGACAAGGTGCCCGCGGACGTGCGGCTACTACAGTTAAGAACGTCGACCTTCGCGACGGACGAGGCGGCGCTGACGGGCGAGTCCTACACGGTCATGAAAAGCGTCGACGCCGTCGACGACCCGGACTGCCCTCTGGGGACCCGGACCTCGATGGCGTTCGCGGGCACGGTCGTCACGGGCGGCCACGCGATCGGCGTCGTCGCGGCGACGGGCATGGCCACGCAGATCGGCCGCATCCAGGCGGGCGTCACGGCGGCGGCGGCGGACCAGCAGAAGACGCCCCTGTCGCAGAAGCTCGACGAGTTCGGCCACCAGCTGACGCTGATCATCGGTTCGGTCTGCGCGCTCACGTTCGGCGCGTCCGTCCCGCGCTTCGACTCGCCCATCTTCGGCTCCAAGCTGCGGGGCGCCATGCACTACGCCAAGGGCGCCGTCGCTCTGGGCGTCGCGGCGATCCCGGAGGGGCTGCCGGCGGTGATCACGCTCTGCCTATCGTTGGGCACGCGGCGCATGGCGCAGCGTCGCGTCGTCGTGCGGCGCCTGCCGTCCGTAGAAACACTCGGCTGCACGTCCGTGATCTGCTCCGACAAGACGGGCACGCTCACGACGAACCAGATGACGGCCGTGTCCCTGCTCCTGCCCGCGGAGCGGGGGTCCTTCGAGGAATTGGAGGTCACGGGCCTGTCGTACGACCCGACGGACGGCGAGGTCGTGGGCAGGCCGGATTTGGCCGAGTCCCACGCGGCGGCCTTCGCGGCGGCGGCGGTCTGCGCGCTCTGCAACGACGCGCAACTCGCCAAGGATCCCAAGACGGGGCAGTTTGTGCGCGTGGGCGAACCGACGGAGGCCGCGCTCAAGGTCCTCTGCGAGAAGCTCGGCGCGCCGACGTCCCTCGACGCGTCGCCGGAGGCGAAGCAGGCCGGGCCCTGGCACCGCGCGTCCCTGGCCTGGGCCGGGGCCTACGAGCGCACGGCGACGCTCGAGTTCGACCGGGGGCGCAAGTCCATGTCCGTGGTCTGCAGGCGGCACGGGTCCTACGCGCGCCTCTTCGTCAAGGGCGCGCCGGACAGCGTCCTCGCGCGCTGCTCGCGCGTCCTCGACCCGACGACGGGCAGCCCGCGGAAGCTCGAGGACGGCGAGCGCGCGGAGCTCGCGGCCAGGGTCACGGCCATGGCCGGCCGGCCGCTGCGCTGCTTAGCGTTGGCCTACACGGACGACCTGCCGCCGGAGCTCCGGGCCTACGAGGGCTCGGACGAGGACGCGGACCTGCCCGCGTGCCTGGCGACGGCGGACGACCACGAAAAGCTCGAGAGCGACCTCGTGCTCGCGGGCGTCGTCGGCATCCGCGACCCGCCGCGGCCGGAGTGCGCCGCGGCCATCGCCAAGTGCAAGGCCGCGGGCGTGCGCGTCTTCATGATCACGGGCGACTCGCGGGAGACGGCCGTCGCCATCGGGCGGGAGCTGGGCATCCTCGACGGCGACGGCGACGGCCGCGCCTGGGAGGGCAACGCGTTCTTCGCCGACGACTCCGAGGAGGCCGAGGCCCAACGCGCGGCGACGCTCGCGCCGGAGCGGGGCAACGGCGTCTTCTGCCGCACGGCGCCCGCGGACAAGCAGCGCATCATCAAATTGTTGAGCGACGCCCACGGCGACGTCACGGCCATGACGGGCGACGGCGTCAACGACGCGCCGGCGCTCCAGCAGGCGTCGATCGGCATCGCGATGGGCATCACGGGCACGGAGGTCGCCAAGCAGGCCGCGGACATGGTCCTCATGGACGACGACTTCGCGACCATCGTCGCGGCCGTCGAGGAGGGCCGCGCGATCTACAAGAACATGCAGGCCTTCGTGTGCTTCCTCCTGAGCTGCAACTTCGGCGAGGTCGCGACGATCTTCGGCGCGACGCTCATGGGTATTCCGGATGTGCTCACGCCGCTCCAGCTGCTCTGGGTGAACCTCGTCACCGACGGCCCGCCGGCGACGGCGCTGGGCTTCAACCCGCCGGACCCGGACGCGATGACGCGGCCGCCGCGCGACTCGGCCGCGCCGATCCTCACGCCGTGGCTCCTCTGCCGCTACGCGGTCACGGGCGCCTACGTGGGCTTCGCGACGATCCAGATCTTCCTGAACCACTTCAAGGACCACGGCGTGTCGCGGCGCCAGCTCGCGCGGTGGGCGTCGTGCGACGTCGACGACGCCGCGTGGGCGACCTTCGCGCCGGTGCTGCCGCCGAACTCCCACGCGAACCCCTGCGCGGCGGCCTTCGGGACGGGCAGCCTGCTCAAGGCCAAGGCGCAGACCCTGAGCCTGTCGACGCTCGTGACCATGGAGATGCTCAAGGCGCTGAGCGCGGTGTCGCTCGACCACAGCCTGCTCCGCGTGACGCCGCTCGCGAACAAGTGGCTCCTCGCGGGCGTCGCGCTGCCGACGCTGCTCCACCTGGGCCTGCTCTACGTGCCCCAGCTCTGCGCCGTCTTCGGCCTCGAGGCCCTGTCCTGGGCCGAGTGGGCGACGGTGCTCAAGTTCGCCGCGCCCATCCTGCTCGTCGAGGAGCTCACGAAGGCCGTCGGCCGCCACCTCGAGGCCAAGGCGCTCCGGGAGGCCCGGGCGAAGCCGGAAAAGTAAGTTCAAAGCGCCTTACTTCGTCTGGTCGGCGCCGAGGACGGGCCCGTCCTCCGGCGACCGGTCCCGCGTGCACGCGCACAGCGCGGCGCACAGGCCGAAGAGCCCCGCGATGATGGCGACGACCGTGGCGCCGTTGGCCGCGTCGTAGACCTGGAGGAAGGCGATGGAGCCGATGACCGTCGCGCCCGTGGACAGCGAGTAGACCGCGCCCTGGATGCGGCCCTGCTCCTCGTAGGGCACCTCGGCCGCGATGGAGCCCACGAGGAGCGGCAGCGGCGCGAAGGCGACGCAGAACACGTTGACGAGGACGAAGAGGAGCCAGGTCTCCGCCGCCGTCGCCCGCTGGAGCGTCGCGACGAGCGCGGCGCCCGCCGTGCCCACGGCGAACGCGCACGCGTAGCTCCGGCAGTAGCCGACGACGGGCACCGCGTAGGACACGATGAAGAGGGACACGACGGGCCCGACGATGATGGAGTTGAAGTACATGGACGTGATCTGGACGGACCCGAACTTGAAGTGGTCCTCGAGCCAGTACAAAATGATCGACGACACGCCGTAGAGCCCCAAATTCCCGACGAAGTACGTGCAGACGAGGGCCCGCACGCGGTGCGAGTTGCCGCAGAGGAAGCGCAGCGACGTCATGGGGTTGAGCACGTTCTTCGTCGTCGCGCGCGAGGGCACGCCGCAGCAGCGCCGCGCGGGCGGCGCGTCCTCGAGCGACTCCGGCAGCGCGTACGCCAGCCAGAGGTCCGCGGGCAGGAGCACGACGCCCACGCACGCGAAGGCCAGCCGCACGCCGATGGACAGCATCAGCGTCTCGCCGAGCCAGACGCCCAGGAGCAGCCCGAAGATGGAGTAGACGTTGAGCACGGACAGCTCGCGCGTTAAAAGTAACGGCAAATCGACGGAAGACGCGCCGCCCTTGAACGCGTGGCCGTACAGGAGCCGCGACGGCCACCAGTCCCGGGGCCCGCCAAAGTCCAGGTCCTCGCAGAAGTCCTTGGACCCCCGCGCGCCGTTGCGCTTCGCGGCGACGACCGCGTCGACGATGATCGACTTGCAGACGTTGTACGTGCAGTCGAGCGTGCCGATGCACGCGGCGCCCAGCAGCACGGCCGTCGGCGTCCGCGCCGCGGCCATGAAGGGGAAGGCCAGCGTGTCCGTTAGCGCGCCGATGAGCAAAATGGGCCGCCGGCCCGCGAGGTCCGTCACGGAGCCGAGGACGGGCGCCGTGAGGAAGTTGCAGCTGCACCAGACGATCATGTAGTACGTGCTCAGCCCCACGGCCTTCTCGTCGTCGTCCGTGCCGTAGATGATCTCCGTCAAAAAGTAGGAGCTCAGCGTGCCGTACATGCCGTAGGAGATGTCGAGCGCGAAGATCCACGCCTGGGCGAGGCGCCGCGACGTCGCGATCTTCGTCGCGCGCTCCCGGGACGTCTTCTGCTCCAGCTCCTCGACGTCGAGGAGCAGCGTCTCCTTCTCGAGGTCGCTCCCCTCGAGCTTCTTCGACTTGGCCATCGCGGATGTTGCTGGGATCCCGTCTTACGCGATCATCGTCGTGCGGGCTGCCCTCTCCTCGGGAGCACGCACGGCACGCAAAACATCGCTGCGGTGGTGCCGCAAAGGAGACGCTAGCGATCGCAATAGCCGAAGCCGCCCGCGCCGCACCACCAACAACGAAGATGACGGACGACGCCGACGTCAAGGCCAAGGTGCTGCGCCAGGTCGAGTACTACTTCTCCGACGACAGCTTCCCCTTCGACGACTACATGAAGGGCAAGTGCGACGGCGAGGGCTACGTGCCCCTCGCCGAGGTCTGTTCCTTCGCGAAGATGAAGGCCTACACGACGGACGTCGACGTCGTCAAGGCGGCGCTCGCCGACAGCGACGCCGTCGTCCTCAACGACGACGGCACGAAGCTCAAGCGCGTGTACCCGTGCCCCGACGAGGACCCGGCCAAGGCGACGACGGTCCACTGCTCCGGCTTCGCGACGCTCGAGGGCAAGGAGGCCATGGAGGCGTCCATCGCCGCGGCCATGAAGAAGCACGGCGCCGTCGCGGCCGTGCGCGCCCTGCGGAACCTCGCCCAGGAGGCGCGCGCCTACGACGGCTCCGCGCTCGTGACCTTCGAGGACGAGGCCGCCGTCGCTTCCGCCGTCGCGTGCACGGGGGCCGTCATGGGCGGGCGGAAGATCACGATCTACGCGTTGACGGACTGGTTCGACCGCATGCGCAAGAAGCGCGACGCGATGAAGAAGAAGAAGCAGCAGAAGGAGGAGGACAAGAAGAACGGCGTCGTCCGCGCCGTCGAGCACACGCCCAAGGCCGCCGTGCTCGGCTGCGTGCTCAAGTTCGAGGGCCTCGACGCCGTGCCGGAGGCGAGCCGCGAGATGCTCCGGTCCGCGTGCGAGGTCGGCGACATCAAGGTCGCCTACGTCGAGTTCGAGCCAGGGCAGCAAAAGAGAGCGAAATTCCCAACTTCAAAGGCTCATATCTCGGCCGTTTTCCACTCGTTTCGGCTGATTTTTGGACGAGCGATCATCTCTCGGAACGGTCTCGAAGCGCGGATGCTTTTTCCGGAACGCGCGCGCGCGGAACACTCACGTTGAAGCGACGTTGAATCACCCTTTTGCTGCCCAGGTTCGAGCGCGGCCAGGCCGAGGGCTTCGTACGCCTCGCGGAGCCCAAGGCCGCGGAGCTCGTCGCGAAGATCGCCGCGGACGGCAAGGCGACGCTCGGCGGCGTCGACGCGGCCGTCGCCGTGCTCGAGGGCGACGCGGAGACGGAGTACCACGACCGCGCGGCGGAGGCGGCCAAGGCCGCGCGGAAGCGCAAGGGCGGCGGCGGCAAGGGCGGCTACCGCCGCAAGAAGCACCGCTCCTAGGGCGGCGAGTAACGGGGTTCCGGTGTGTGGCGACCTCCGGAGCGTGGTAGTTGCCCATCCCAGCGGAGCCGCGTGGATCGAACATGGCGCGCGGTTCGTGATAGTTGGTTATCCCAGCTGAGCCGGCGCGGCGAGGGCGTCGCGTGGGTCGAACATGGCGCGCGAGCCCGAGCGCGAGGGCTGGCGAGACGGTCGCCGGGCCACGCATCTTTGCGGGGATCCATGCTTGCGCGCCGACGAGCTCGCCGCGAACGCCTAATGATGAAGTCTGGTTGAGGCTCAACGGCAACCTGCGCCCCTGGCTATGAGCTCGCTTTGACCGGTGCGAGGTCAGGATCGCCGTCGCCGTCAACATCGCCGTCGCCGTCAACATCGGCGCGCTTCGAACAGAGTGTGCGAATGGACAGCCAGCTCGTCAAACTGTACGCTGCTGTCGGCGGCGTGACGCGCGCCCACGAAGACGAACTCCAGAAGAAGCTCCGGGCGCGCGATGTGGCGCATGCGCAAGAGACCGCTAATTTCGCGCAAGATATCGCCAATTTGAACGTCCGCCTGACTGCTTCGCAGAGTCTCAACACAACCCGGGAGAACGAGCGCGACACCGCGCGGGCCGAGCGCGACTCCGCGCTGGTCGCGCGCGACGGCATGCGCGACGAGCGCGACGCGGCGGTGCGCCTTTGCGCGGAGGCGGCCGCGAAGGCGTCGGCGCTCGAGTCGCTCGTCGCGCGGCTTCGCGCGGGCGAAGGCGGCGGCGTGGTGACGCCCGTCGCCGCGAAGCGGCCGCCGCCGGAGGGCGGCGCGGCGGCGCCCGCGGCGAAGCGGCTTCGGCAGCTCAGCATGCGGCACGTGGCCAAGGATGGCGGGCTGGTCCGGTCGGTCTGGCCGGCGCGCTTCGACCTCTCGTGGCGCCTCGCGCTCGAGTTCGCGTCGCCCGTCGACGCGGGTCGCTGCGCGGCCGTGTGCCGCGCCGCCGCGCGCGGCGCGGCGGACGACCTCCTCTGGAGCGTCTACTGCGCGCGGTCGCGCGTCCCTTTCGGCGTCGGACCGCTCGTCGTCCGCGGTGAAGACGACATCGTCACCGCGTGCCGCGACGTCGCCGTCGGTGACCTTGCGTCGCGGCGCCACGGCGAGCGGAAGCGACGCGCGCTGCTCCGACGCGTCCGCTCGCTCGAGCAGGAGCTCAGCCACGACGAGTTCGGAAAAGCGGACGAGAGCTGGGACGACGAGCGAAAGATGATGTTCTGCGAGCTGTATTATTTACTGGGATGGGTCGAAGCCTTGGACCGAGCTCGCGGAGTGACGGCGTCGCTCGATTGGGGGACGCCGATCTCGCCCCCGCCGGGTGCGAGCTTGGAGACCCTGCTGCGCGACATGCGCGCGCCTTTCGGCGCACCTCCAAGCTGGAGTTTTCTTTCGCCGGACCTCCAGGCTAGAAAATTGGTGAAAATACCGGAGCGACCCATGGATCAGCATGACTTCGCGGTGGGGCTCCACAAGGACCCCAAGTTCTATGACGACCTCGTGCGCGCGGAGCCCGTCGTCTTTGGCCCTGGGGATACCGTGCGCACGTTGGACGGCGAACGCGGTCCACGCACGGAGAAGCCGGTCCCCGTGACCTGGCGCGATGCCACCGTCGTGCGCGCCTTGCCTGATGGCAAGTACGAGCTCAGCATCAATGATTTCGGGCGCTCGGCGCGCGACGCGTACCGGAGCTACGCGTCGGGCCGAATTGCTGTCGTCGAGGTCTACCGCGGAGGCTTCGATATTGACGATGATCTATGCTGGAATCCAATGGCGACATACGCTTACAAAAACATTCGGCAAGCCTATTCCGCCGTTCTCGAAATCGTCGAGAATGACGAATTACGAGCCCGACACGATGACACAGAGCACGATGATTGGGAGCGTTTAGAGCCGCCAGTGGAATGGCCACCGTCGGCCAAAGATCGAGCTTCTTGGCCTTCTTGGTTTCAGTTCGGCGATTTCATGATGGAGGACGCTTTCGACTCTGGCACTCCCGTCTTCGTCAATCGCGATTACAACGGCGGTCCAATCGTGGCCATCTCCCTGTCTGTACGGTGCCTCGGCGCGCAAATGCTGGATCCCACCGCTAATGAGACACAACATGTGCCGTTTCGATTCGGCACCGACTCCCCATGGCCCAAGCCCTACGGAAACGCGCATTCCTTCGTCAGCGTCTCCTCGGCGCCCACGCTCTACGGAAACGCGGCTTCCTTCGCCAGCCGCGTGCGCGATCATTTCTAAGAGCTCGATCGCATACCCCCTAGCCCCCCCGCGGCAGCACGGCGTCGAGCAGGGGCGTCGAGAGGATGTTGTCCGGGTCGTAGACATCGCGGAGCGCCGCGAACTTGGCCGTGTCGAACTTGGCCGCGAGCCGCGCGACGGCCGTCGCCGCGGCGTCCGCGTCCGCGGGCTCCTCGATCTTCGCCCAGTGCTCCACGGCGCCGTAGGCCGGCCAGAGCGACCGCTCGCAGTGCTTCTTGTAGCCGTCGAAGGCCGCCGTGATCGCCGCGCGCTGGGTCGGCTCGTCCGTCGGCAGGTACATGATCACGCCGACCCAGGAGAAGATCGCGTCGTCCGGGAGCGGTGCCTTCGAGCTCGCGGGCGACAGCAGGCTCCGCGAGCCGGACGTCCAGCGCTGCTCGATGGGCGCCGGCGCGGGGATCTCCTCGCGCTCGATGAGGTCGAGGAGGTCGAGCATGTAGCGCACGTCCGCGCCCGAGGGTTGCGACAGCGACCCCGCGGGGAAGCAGCACTCGTTGACCCACTGCTGGCCGCCGCACTCGAAGTTGAGCTTCCGCGACGAGTCGGCGACGTCCGTGCCCTGGCTGCGCCGCCAGAACTCGGCCTCGGCCTTGTTGACGGCTCTGACGTGGCCGACGTCGAGCGGCGCGATCGCGAGGAGCGCGTCCCGGAGCTCCGCGAAGTGCATGGACGCCGCGCCGGGAACGCCCGGCCGCGTCGCCTCGAGCAGCGCGCGCAGCGGCGCGAGCTTCTGGTCGTCGGTGTAGGGGCTCGGCCCGCCCTGGCCCTCGCCCAAGACGCCGTCGAACGTCGGGTTGTTGGACACGACGACGACCGCGTCCTCGAAGGGGATCCACATGAAGCGCACGTGGCGGTTGTCGCGCAGCAGGTCCGCGTGCTTCGCCGCGACCTCGTTTCGCGTCATGACCTGGACGCGCTCGCGCAGCAGGTGCTTGGGCACGCAGCGGAGCTTGGCCTCGACGGCGACGCCGAGCGCGCCGAGGCCGACGAGGAAGGACTCGAGGAGCCCGTCGCCGCGCGCGAGCGTCACCGTGCCGCCGCCGGGCGTCACGACCGTCAGCTCGAGCACGTGCTCGTCGACGGGCGGCAGCGACGCGCCCGTGCCGTGCGCGCCGACGCCGACGAAGCCGCCGATCTGCTGCGACGCGATGGACGCCAAATTCTCGAGCGTGAGGCCGTGGGGCGCGAGCGCGTCGAGCACCTGGTCGACCTTGGCGCCGCAGCGCACGGTCACCGTCCGCGCCTCGGCGTCGACGGCGACGACGTCGTCGAGGAGGCCCAGGTTCACCATCGCGCCGCCGTCGCTGAGCCTGTGTGGAAATCAACCCGTCGAATGGACGCGTCCAGCAAAACTTCAAACCTCTCTAGCTCGGTCAAATCGAAGTCGATTCGGCTGATTTTTGGACGAATCGATCGCTCTCGTCGAGTTCTCGAAGCAGAGCCGAAGAGTTTGCATCGAAACGGTCGCATACGCGCACATTGAAGTCGGGTTGAAGATTTGGTTTCCACACAGCGCTGAGCGCGAGGCCGTTCGGCGACAGCGCGGAGCCGCAGGGCCGGAGCCGCGCCTTCCGCGCCGCGTGCGCCGCGACGAGCGCCTCGACGTCGGCGACGGACTCGGGCGTGTAGACCGCCGTCGGCCGCGCGGAGTGCGTGGCGCTCCAGTTGACGACCTCCAGCACGTCGTCGTCGTCGTCGTCGCCGCCGTCGGCGAGCGCGCAGGACGCGCTGGCGCCGAGCGCGGCGGCGGCGCTGGCCCAGGGCACGCGCGCCTTGAGGCGGCGGGCGGCGCGGGCGAGCATGGCCACCGACGACGACGACGCTGGTGAAGACGACGACGCTGGTGGGACTGCGATGACTCCCTGCCGAGCGTCAACAATTCTTCAACTACTTTGTTGAAGATGGCGCTGGAGACCACATCTATCCGGCGCGGGCAGCTTTGCGCCCGGGCATTGGGCGCAACGACGAGAACGCCGGACCGCGACGCCACGCTCGCGGCCGTGCTGAAAGCTGCCGACGCTCCAGGTCGCCAGCGTCGGCGTCGCGCCCATGGGCGGCGGCGGTTCCAAGGTCGGGACGGAGCTGGATGACGACGACGACCTGCCCAAGGAGACGGAGGCGGACAAGCAGGACCCGGACAACAAGTGCCTCGTCGTCGAGCCGGACTTCGGCGGGCCCTGCAAGAAGCGGCGCTGCACGGACTGCCTCTGCCTGCTGCTCCTGGGCACGTGCTGGTTCGTCATGACCTACATCGGTCTGGCGTGCATCCCCGGCGCCGGCATCGATAACGCCGTGTGCGACGAGGAGACCAAGGGCAACCCCTACCGCCTCATCAACGGCATGGACTACAAGGGCCAGATCTGCGGCATCAACACGGACGTCAAGTCCAAGCCGAAGCTCTACTACCTCCAGTCCGGCCAGGGCGTCTGCGTCAAAAAGTGCCCGAAGAGCACGGACGTCGAGTCGTTCATCTGCACCTACAACGCGCAGGACGACCTCGACGCCATCACCGACGACGTCGCCTACGTCGCCGAGGGCTACGACCAGGTCGGCAAGGACAAGTGCTCCCCGGTCTACGCGACGACGGACGTCATCAACTACTGCCTCTCGACGGACGCGATCGACCTCGGCGCGGAGCTCGCGGCGTCCGCGCTCGTCGACGACGGGACGACGAACACGACGCTGGGCTACAACGACTCGCCCAAGGAGTGGTACGAGAAGGCCTACGGCGACCTCTTCACGGCCAAGGACTACATCTTCGGCTTCGGCATCGGCGGCGCGATCCTCGTCGGCTTCGTCTACACCTTCTTCCTGCGCATCCCCGGCGTGCTCTCGCTCATCATCTGGGGCCTCCTCTTCGCCATCGCCTTCTTCCTCGCGCTCGGCGGCCTCCTCTGCTACAACACGTCGAAGCGGTGGGCGGACGACGAGGAGCGCACGAAGACGCAGGCCGACGGCATGCTCTACATGGCCTACGCCCTCGGCGCGCTCTGCGCCCTCTGGCTCGCCCTGCTGTGCTGCATCCGCAAGCGCATCATGCTCGCCATCGGCATCGTCAAGGAGGCCGCGCGGTCCATCGCGGCCATGCCGATCATCGTCGTCTTCCCGATCGTGCAGATCGCCGCGCTCGTCATCTTCGTCCTGCCCTGGTTCATCTACTGCCTCTACCTCGCGTCCGCCGGGAAGATGAAGGTGCGCGACGGCGGCGCGGCGGGCGACTACCGCGAGTTCGTCTACACGAAGAACCAGTACTACGCGGGCTGGTACATGCTCTTCACCTACTACTGGACGTCCGAGTTCATCGTCGCCATCGGCCAGCTCGTCGTCGCCATGGCCGTGTCGACCTGGTACTTCACGCGGGACAAGTCGTCCATCGGGAACGCGACGGTGGTCTCGTCGATGCGGCGGTCCTTCCGCTACCACGCGGGCACGGCCGCGTTCGGCAGCCTCATCATCGCGATCATCAAGACCATCCGGGCCATCGTCGCCTACATCCAGAAGAAGGCGAAGAAGACGAAGACGTGCAAGGTCCTCGTGCAGGTCGTGCTCTGCGTCATCCAGTGCTGCCTCTGGTGCGTCGAGAAGTGCATGAAGTTCATCAACAAGAACGCGTACATCCAGACGGCCATCTTCGGCCACTCCTTCTGCAAGGCCGCGCGCTGCGCCTTCTTCCTCATCCTGCGGAACATCGTGCGCATCGCCGCGCTCGGGCTCGTGTCCGGCTTCGTGCTCCTCCTGGGCAAGGTCATCATCACGACGGGCGCGACGATCCTCTGCTACATCGCGCTCGACGCGTCGGGCTTCGCCGACGACGAGCTCAACTACCTCTGGCTGCCTCTGGTGTTCACGGCGTTCATCGCGTTCTACGTCGCCCAGATGTTCAACGAGGTCTGGGGCATGGCCATGTCGACGATCCTCCAGTGCTTCGTCGCCGACGAGGAGATCTACAAGAAGGACTCCGACGCCATGTTCGCCGGCGACTCGCTGAAGAGCTGCGTGTCGTCGTCGAACAAGGGCAAGTACAAGGACAAGGGCAAGGTCGCGCCGGGGACCGCGGCCCAGGAATCGTCCGGCGACGCCATCATCTGACGAGGCGCGGGACGCGGGGCGCGCGGTTCGGTAACCACTTCAAGGTGGCCAACTTGCAGCGCGCCGAGGATTAGGCGATGCAGTCGATGCAAACCGCTTCAGCACTTCTTCAAGGTGGCCAACTTGCAGCGCGCTCCGGATTAGGCGATGCAATCGATGCCTAGCAGTCTATAGAGCTCTGCGTCCTCTAGCCTCCACGCGATGCCTCCCGCCAAGCGTGCGCGCCTCGGCAGCGCGGAGCACGTCGACGCGCGCGAGGCGCAGCGGCGGCGCGTCGCCGAGCTGCTGGCGTCGTCGCGCGTCGACTACGAGGGCCCCGCGGCGCGGGCCGCCGAGGCCTGCGCCCGGGACGTGCGCGCGGCGCTGCTCGCCATGGGCGACGGCGCGCCCGCCGCTTCGCCGGAGACGCCCGCGCTCTGCGCGCCGCGGCCGGCGGCGGCCGCCGCGGCGCCCGCGGGCCCGCCCGCGGACGTCAAAGTCGTCGGGAGTTGGCTCGCGCGGACGACGTCGCGGCGGGCGCGGCCATGGACCTCGTCGCGTTCCTGCCCGCGGGCGCCCTCGCCGCCAACGGCAAGGACGCGCTCAACGGCCGCTACTTCGTCGCGCGCGCCGCGTACCTCGCCGCCGTCCGCGAAGCGCTCGTTTCCGCGGGCTTCGCCGTCGCCGCGGCCGCCGGCGGCGACGCGCGCCGGCCCGGCCTCGTCGTCCGCCGCGACGCGTCGCAGCGGATCCCCGTGCGCGTCCTCCTGGGCTGCCGGCCGCCGGCGGCGCTCGAAAGACGCCTCGGCCCTACCTTCAACAACGTCCGCGACGCCGACGGCGGCTCCGGCGACCCGACCCCGGGCTACAACGGCGCCCTGCTGGGCGACGCGACGCGCGAGCGGCACCTGGCCCTGCTCCACGGCGCCTGCGTGGCGCACCCGTCGCTGGGGGACTGCTGCGTCCTCGCGAAGCGGTGGCTCGCCGCGCGCGGGCAACTCGGCCGCGGCGACGGCGGCGTCGACGGCTTCCTCGCGTCCATGGTCGCGCTCCACTGCCTGCGCGTCCACGGCGACGCGCCGTCGGCGACGGGGCCCGAGGAGCGGGCCCTCGAGCTCTTCCGCCGCGTGCTGCGCTTCCTCGCGGCCGCCGCGTGGGCGTCGGGCGTCGTCGCGCTCTCCGGCGAGGCGCCCGACGACGGCTGGGCGGCGTCGACCGCGCCCGTGCGCTTCGTCGACGGCGCGTCGAACCTCGCGCGCCGCGTGAGCGGCGCGGCGGCGGCCGAGGTCGCCGCGGACGCGGCCGCGTGCCTGATCGCGCTCCGGAGGGACGCGGCGCCGGGCGCGCTCGACGCGGCGCTGACGCGGCCGGCCTACGCCGTGTGCCGCTACGACGCCTTCGTGCGCGTGCCCCTGGAGCCCCTCGACGACGTCGGCGGGTCGGCCTACGACCGCGCGCTCGCCGTCGCCGGCGCCGCGGAGCCGGACGCCGTCGGCGAGGCGCCCGGCGACGTCGTCGGCCGCCGCGCGGAGGCGACCTGCGCCGAGGCGCTGCGGGGCCGGGGCCTCGCGTGCCGCCGCGGCGTCGCGGCGGGCGACCACGCCGTCGTCGGCGTCGCGCTCGACCCGTCGGCCGACGCGACGCGCGCGGCGCTCCGCGGCCCGGCGCCCGGCGACGAGCAAGCGCGCGCGTTCCGAAACTTCTGGGGCGACGGCCGCTGCGAGCTGCGGCGCTTCAAGGACGGCGCCGTCGTCGAGGCCGTGGTCTGGGCGAAAAAGGCCGGCGAGGCGGACGACTGGCGCGAGGCGCTGCCGGAAAGGAGCGCGCGCGCGGCGCTCGGCCGCCACGAGCCCCGGCGCTGCGGCGCGGACGCGCGCGCGGGCCGCGGCGACCGCGCGGCGCTCGCGGCGGCGACTTATGAGACCTTCGGCTGCCGCCGCGCGCTGCCGCCGGCCGCGGCGATCGCGGCCGACGCGCACCGCGTGTTCGAGGCGCTCGGCGCGCGGCTCCGCGGCGCCGCGGGCCCGCTCCGCGTCGACGCGCTCTCCGCCGCGGCGCCGCTGCTGCGCCACACGGCGCCCTTCGCCGCCGGGCCGCACCCGGCGCTCTTCGGCGCGGACTCGGCGGACGCGGCCGCCGCGGGCGTCGCGGACGCTCTAGACGCCGTCGCGCGCTTCGAGCCCTGCGACGCCTGGGCGAAGCTCGGCGTCGCCGAGACGCGGGCGGCGACGCTGGGCCTGCTGGCGCGCTGCGCGGAGACGCTCGAGGACGGCGGCGCCGCCGTCGGCGTCGTCGCGGCCGCGCGGCCGCACCTCCGCGTCTTCTCCGGCGGCTTCGGCTTCCGGATCTTCGCGGCGACGCCGTCCCGAAAAGCGCCGGACACGGGCCTGGCCCACGTGCACCACGGCCTCGTCCGCGCGCTCGCGGCGAAGCACCGCGCCTTCGGGGATGCGGTGCGGCTGGTCGCGCGGTGGGCGGCCGCGCAGCACTTGAGCGGCCACGCGTCGCACGAATTCCTGGAGGTGCTCGCGGCCGCGGTCTTCGCGCCCGGCGCGTCCAACGCCTTCGCGGACCGCGTGCCCGCGTCGGCGAACGCGGGCTTCGCGGCGTGCCTCCGCGCGCTCGCGCACCACGACTTCGGCGCGGCGCCAATTTACGTCGACCTCCGCGCGGCGGCGGCCGAGGACGCGGAAAAAGCGCGGCCCGCGGCGGCCCGCGCGGCGGCGGCGGACCGGACGCTGCGCGTCGTCGCGGACTACTTCGACGAGGGAGGGGCGGCGCCGACGCTCGCGGCGCCCGCGGCCGCGCCGGACGACGCGGCGTCGCCCGTCGAGGCCGCGGCGCTCCATTTGTTATCGGACGCCGCGAAAACGACGCTGCAACGCATGGAGGCGGCCGTCGCCGCCGGCGACGCGGGTTTTGCTGATGCGACCTGGGGCCGGTCCGGCGGGGCGCTCGCGCGGCGCGCGGCGCACGCGACGATCCGCGTCCGGCCGGACGTCGTCGCCCGCGGCGCGGCCCGCGTCGACGACCGCGCCGCGGGCGAGGCCGCGCGGGCCCGGGGCCCGAAAGCGTTCCGCCTCAGGCCCGCGGGCAAGACCTTCGCGAACCTCGCGCCGAAGAAAGCCCGCGGCGCCGCGGGCGGCGGGGGGGACGCGCCGAACGTCTTCGTCGGAGCGGAGCCGGTAGCCGCCTACGTCGGCGAGCTCCGGGCGACCTTCGGCGACGTCGCCCTCTTCTTCTTCGACGCCCACGAGCCCCGCGAGATCTCCGTCGTCTTCCGGCCCTCCTTCGTGGAGTCGGGGACGACGACGCGCGCCGCGGTGCTGACCGCCGCGGCGAAGCTGGGGTTGGGGCTCGTCGCCGACGTCGCCGCGCGGTGCTAAGACTTCGTCGCTACTTTAGTTTCACGACGATGACGGAGACGTTGTCCCGCGTGCCCCGGTCGACGATGGCCGCGTTCGTGGCGCGCTCCGCGGCCCGCTGGGGGTCGCCGTGGTCCGCGAGCTCGCCGCGGACGAAGGCGACGGCCTCGGCGTCGGAGAAGACGTCGAAGAGGCCGTCGCAGGCGAGCAGCAGGAACTCGTCGACCGCGGCGGCGGCGGCGGCGCCGCGGCGGCCCCCGGCGGCGGCGGCGGCGCGCCGCCGGCGACGATCGCCGGCACGGACTTCTTGAGCGCCGCGGCGCCGAAGGCGCGCGACACGGCGAGCTCGCCCATGACCCGCCGGTGGATGACGAAGCCCCCGGCCGCGCGGATGCGCGCGGCCTCGTCGTCGCGCGCGGGCGTGTGGTCCCGGCTCAGCGCCACGGCGCGCCCGCCGCGGCAGAGCAGCGCGCGGGAGTCGCCGACGTTCGCGCAGACGACCACGTCGCCGAGGACCAAAACGGCGACGCACGTCGACCCCGCGCGCGCGTTCGCCGACGTCCGCAGAAACGCGTCGTCGGCGTCGAGGAACGCGCGCCGGAGCGCCGCCGCGAGCTGCGCCTGTCGGTCGCCGGCGGGCAGGCCCGCGAGCGCGGCGCCGACGCGGCCCGCGAGCTCGTCCCTCAGGAACGCGGCCGCCTCGTCGCCGCCGTGGCCGTCGAAGACGCCGTAGAACGTCTGCGGCGCCAGGTCCTCAAGTCCCGGCACGGCCAGATCCTGGACGACGCGCGTCCGGTCCTCCATGGCCCGCCGCGCGCCCCGCTCCTCGCAGACGCCGTAGTCGAAGCGGTTCACGGACAGGCCCGTCCGCGCGACCAGAATCCGGTCGCCTAGAGCCAAATCACAAGGCCCCGCGTAGGGGCCCACGAGGCGCATGTAGGTGCCGTTCGTCGAGCCCAGATCCCGCAAATAGAAACCGCCTTCGTAAAAATCGACGGCGGAGTGGCGCCGCGACAGCTCGCGGTCTCCGACGGCGACGGAGTTCTCCGCGGACCGCCCCAGGGTCGCGCCGCCGCGGCCGATCCTCAACGTCTCGCCCGCGCGCGGGCCTTCGTCGCAGCGGAGCGCGAGGACGTCGCCCGTCGTTGTCGCATCCACGACAAAGAGCGAGTTGCCCGCGCAGAAGGCCGCGCCGACGCCGAGCGGCCACGCGCGCGTCCCCGGCTCCGCGCCGACGCGGACGGCCACGGGCGGCACGCCCCCCCCGCGCCGCTCGCCGACGCGCGCGCTGAAGACGCCCGTGGCCGCGTCGCGGTCGATGACGCAGTGCGCGTGGTCCCGCATCGTGCCGTCGCTCGGCACGGAGATCGCGTTCGCCGCCGCGCGCCCGACGGCCGCGCGGCCGGCGACCGCGAAGCCCTCGCGCGCCGCGTCGCTGCCCAGCGTCGTGAACTTGAGCACGACGGACTCGAGGGACCGTGTAAATTCCTTGCGCGCGAGGGGCGACGGCGCCGGGGCCGGCGGCGGCGCCGCGGGCGGCGGCGGCGGCGGCGTCGCCGCCTCCCAGGACTGGCGCACGAGCGCCGGCGGGCAGCGCGCGTTCTGCACGGCGCGCATGGGTGCGGCGCGGACGCGGCGTCGACGTCCACCGACGCGCGGCCCGCCCGCGCGGCCGCCGCAGCCCCAGACGAAAGGCCACCAGCGGGCTGCGGCATGATATAATTCTTCAAGTTCTTAAATGAATTCTTCAAGAAAAGATACTTAGTAATAAACACTATAATAACTCGCCTTTAAATAGCACCCGGGCGCGCGCCGCGCCCCTGCTACGTGCTCTTGCAGTCCTTCCCGATGCCGAGGCCGTAGAAGTCGTCGGCGACGAAGACGTCCTTCTCGAACTCGTAGCCGTTGGGCTTGTGCGCGCCCGTCGCGGCCTGGAGCTTCTTGCACAGCTCCGCCTCGACGAGGTCCTCGGCCTTGTCCTCGACGGTGAGGTCGAGGTGGGCGCTGTGGAGCGCCTCCTTGACGGCGCCCTTGTGCGTGCCCATCTTCGCCTTCTTCATCACGGACGCGCCCGGCGGCATGTACCTGCGCGGGTGATCTCTCGTCGCCGTTCGTTCCCGCGCGTCGAACGCCCGCGTTCGACTCGTGGCACGCGTCGAAGTCGCGTCGCGGTACACCGCCCGGCGGCGCGCTGCACGAAGATGAACTTCGGGCGCTTGCAGACGACGGAGCCGCGGTTGTCGACGCCGAGGCACTTGAAGCCGCCCCACATGACCGCCGCGTCCTCGAGGTTGCTCTTGAAGTCCGCGAGGCCGCCCGTGCCGACGCACTTCATCTCCAGCGCCTTGCCGTTCGCGGCGTAGGTCGCGAGGAGGAAGGTCTCGGGCGCTTCGTCGTCGAGGACCTTGTTCCAGGCCGTCGCGATGTCCGGCGGCACGTCCAGCGTCTTCTTGCCGCCGCCGCCGCCGGCGAAGTGCGTCACCTTCGGGCCGGCGCCGGGCGCGTTCAGCCCGAAGCCGCCGCCGGCGCCGCTGCCGCTCGACATGGTGTTGGCCACGAGGCCCAGCTTCTTCGACTTGCCCTCGGCCTCGGCCTGGGACTTGAGCGCCTTGTCCATCATCTCCGACATGGCGCGCTGGACGACCGATACGACGCGGCCGGCGCTGGACGACGGAGGCCGGAGGACGACGCGGCCAGGCGCTGCCAACAAGAGGCTGTGGCTGGCTGTGGCTATTTGCGGCTCGTGAAATTGTCAAGGGCAACCCTCCTTCCTTGCAGCTCAACGTTTGCGGTGTCGCAGCCCGGGCCCCGGCATGGGTCGCGTATAGCAGACGCGCCTCGGTTGTCGACATGGCCATGACCCGCGCCGAAGCGTCGTTTCTCGAGCAAACGCAGGCATGGCACGCCGGCGGCGCGGGCCGCGACCTCGATGCTGCGGTTCTTCTGTTTAGCGGTGCTACTGGCACGCTTCTCCACGTGTTGGACAACGAGGAAAGCAGCAGTGTGGGTGTGCACATCGAGGTCGATGACGACGATGACGGATGTACGCGACTGGCCTTTGCAGCGTCGCGAGGTTGGTGCTCGAGCATCAAATGGCTGCTCGAAAATGGCGCCGACATTGACGCTGTTATTCTAGGAATTGGTTTGACGCCACTCCACACTGCCGTCGGCCTGAACCAACGCGACGCCGCCGTCCTCTTGCTCGATGCGGGCGCGCGAGTCGACGCCCGGAGGATGAATGGGTACACTGCTCTCATGTGCTGCTCTCTCGACGGCATCGACGTCTATGAAAACCTGGAAATGTGCAAGCTGCTCCTGAGTCGCGGCGCGTCGCTCGAGCCGCGCGCTAACAGCGGCGAAGACGCCGAGGCCATCGCGCGACGCCTCGGCCACATTACCATGGTCGACCTCCTCGCCGCCGTCCGCGCGGCGGGCGGCTGGGCCGGCTACGTCGACGCGCCCCGCAAGGAGCTCCTCGCCCTCCGCCGGCAGCTCCCGTCCCTCCGGGAGCGCGGCCGCGCGGCGCCGTCGAGCAGCGTCCGCGTCCACGAGCGCCTCTTCGTCGCCCTCACCGATGACGACGTCTTCGTGCACGCCGTCGCCTTCTGGCGCGGCCCCCGCGACCTGTGAGAGAACTAAGAGGCACCTACGCGAGCGACAGGGGGAAGCGGACCGCGAAGGGCGCGCCCGGCCGCGTGCCCGGGGGCACGACCGCGGTGATGGGGTTGTTCGTCACCGGGTGGAGGAAGACGAGCGTGTCGCCCGGCGCCGCGTTCGGCGGGCACACCAGCTTCACGGACGTCGCGGACTGGGTCTGGTCGCGGTTCGCGACGACCTTGTCGACGACGCCGTCGCCCGTCGTGTCGATGCCCAACACGTCGGGCACGCCGTCGCCGGAGAGGTCGATGACGACGGACCCGCGCGGGTGCACGTGCATCTCGGGGATGCGGCGGACGTCGTCGACGACGCCGTCGCCGTCGAGGTCGCGGCCGACGACGTTCGGCACGCCGTTGCCCGTGAGGTCCACGGAGAAGACGCCGTGGGGCACGGTCGTCAGGTGGCGGCCGCTCAGCGTGACGCTGTCCGCGAGGCCGTCGCCCGTCGTGTCGCGCGCGACGACGTTCGGCGCGCGGTCGCCCGTGAGGTCGTAGGCCTTCTCGGACTGCCCGTTGAGGGGCACGCCGCCGGGCACGGGCTCTACCGCGTCGATGGCGCCGTCGCCCGTGCTGTCGACGCCGACGATGGTGCTCAGGTCGACGTCGAGCGCGGAGCCGGGCGCGACGTCTCCCGGCCGCGTCACGCGGACGCGGCGCCCGCCGTGCTCGAAGAAGAAGTGGCCCCCGATGGGCACGTTCGGGGGCACGAGGACCCGCACGGTGTTCGGGTTCCGGCGCCTCTCCGGCCGCGGGAAGCGGATCGTCACCTCGGCGCCCGCGGGCGCGTCCGCGGGCCGGCGCACCGCGACGCGGCTCCCCTCGAAGGGCGCGTAGAAGACGCCCCCGGGGGCGACGCCCGGCGGCACGCGTACTCTAAGCTCGACCGTGCCGCTCTCCGCGGCCACGTAGGCGTCGACGAACGCCTCCATCGTCGCCAGACCCGACGCCTTCCACGCCGCGTAGAACTTCAGGAACTCCGCCTGCGAGATGCCGCCGTCGTGGTCGAGGTCGAACTTCACTAAAAACCGTTCCGACGTCGCCGGCGTCAGGTCCTTGCCGCCGAGGAACGTCGCCTCGAAGAGCGTGAGGAACTCGCGCCGCGCGATGTTGCCGTCCGACGAGAGCGTGTGCGGCTGCGCGGCGCCCCGGAGCTTGGCGAACGCCGCGCAGCCGTCGTCCTCGGCCTGCTGGCCGCAGACGGACACGAGCAGCGCCCGGATCTCGTCCTGGCCCGCGCGGAGCATGTCCTGGTTCTCCTTGAGCATGTCCTGGCGCCGGTGCACGTCGAGCGCGACGTTCTTCGTGATGCGCACGTCCGCGGCGACGGCCGCGAGCTCCTGCTTCGCCTCGTCGGCGCTCAGCCCGGACAGCGCCGCGATCTGGGCGGACTCGCCGCCTAACACGGCGCGCTCGAGGCGGCCGACCTGCTCGAAGTTCGTCTGTTGGAACTGGAGCTGCGCGGCCGACAGCGTCACCGCGATGTCCTGGACGCAGGAACTGAGATCCGTGTCGAGCTGGCGCACCGTGCGCTCGTCCCAGAAGCCCCGGGCGACGCGGCTGATGAAGCCGCGCTTGCCGTACTCGACGCAGAACTTGTGCGCGCTTCTCACCAAATCCGCGAGCCGCAGCACCTCCGCCTCGAGGGACCGCGTCTTCACGCCCGTGCGCTCCGCCGTCGGCAGCAGCTCGTCGAGCATGAGGGCGATCTCGTGGATGCGCCGCCCCATGGACTGGACCGCGACCTTGTTGACCTGCGCGTCGCGCACGGCGCCGCAGAGGTCGCCCAGCGCCTCCCCCAAGATCCCGACGCACGGCAGCGCCGACGCGAAGCGCCCCAAACCCCGCACGACCGTCAGGGTCAGCTCGGCGTCGAAGACGGCCGTGGCGGCGGCGGCCCCGGCGCCCGCGGCCGCACCGCACGCCGCCGCGGACGGGCCGCCGGCCGCCGGCGCCTTCGCCGCGGCCGCGCCGCCCGCGGGGTCCGCTAGCAGGCGCGTGACGTTGTGCGTGAGGACGATGAGGTGCGCCTTGGAGACGCCGATGCCGGCAAAGAGCTGCTCGAGGTCCTCCGGTGATAGCGCGGCGATGAGCGACCCGTCGATGCCGTTGTCGATGATGGCCCGCTCGTACTGCGCGAAGGCCGGGCCGACGGCGGCGACGCGCGCGGCGACCTCCTTCGACGACAGCTTCGCCGCGGCCTCGAGCTGCGGCGCCTGGGTCGACGCGCCGCCGCCCATCTTTCTAGCGCGCACACACCGCGGGCTGCCCGTCGAGGTGACAGCATTACATGCAACTTGAACTGCGCCATCTATGTTGAAGTAGCAGTGGGCTCGAGGCCGGCTTCGCGATCGGATCCGCCATGCTGCCCAAGACGCGCCTGGGCGTCGCCGCCGCGGTCTGGGCCGGCGCGGGCGTCGCCACGCTCGTCGCCCGCTTCGTCAAGCGGCGGCGCAACGAGGAGCGCGAGCGGCGGACCGCGGCGGCGGGCGGCCTCATCCCCGCGGCGCGCACGGTCGTCGACGCGCTCGCGGCGCGCGCGAGCTACACGGCCGACGCGCCCGCGCTCGTCGGCGCCGACGGCGCGAGCTACACGTGGGAGGCGTACCACGCGAACGCGGTCGCCTTCGGCAAGGCGCTGACGGCGCTCGGCGGCCGCGGCGGCGTCGCCGTGCACGCGTTCAACGAGCCGCGCTGGTTCTTCGCCGCCGTCGGCGCGCTCGCGGCGGGCTGGACGATCTCGGGCGTCTACCTGACGAACACGTACGAGCAGTCCAAGCACATCCTCAAGACGTCGCGCGTGCGCGTCCTCGTCGTCGAGACGCGCGCGCAGCTCGAGTCGACCTACGCGTCCGTGCTCGACGACTTCCCGGAGCTGGTCGTCGTCGTCCTCGAGGGCGGCGCCGTCGACGGCGACCGCGTCTTCCACTACGACGCCTTCGTCGCGACCGGCGCGGCTTTGGACGACCGCGCGCTGCCGCGCATGCTCCCGTCGACGGACGTCGCGTCGCTCGTCTACACGTCGGGCACGACGGGCAACCCCAAGGCCGTGGAGCTCACGCACGAGAGCGCGCGGACCGTCTGCGAGATGATGCACGCGCGCATCCCGCTCAACGAGTCGACGGTCCTCGTGTCCTACCTGCCCCTGAGCCACATCGCGGCGCTGGGCATCGACGTCTACAGCGCCATCTTCTGCGGCGCGACCGTCCACTTCGCCGACGCGGACGCGCTCCGCGGGTCGCTGAAGACGACGCTCCTCGCCGCGCGGCCGACGCTCTTCTTCGGCGTGCCGCGCGTCTGGGAGAAGATGGCCGCGGCCATGCAGGCGACGGCGGCGAAAACGTATGCAACATCCAAGGCGAAGCAGGTCATCGGGACCGCGGCCAAGGCCGTCGGCGCGGCCTGGTGGGACCCGGCGACGCCCGAGGTCGCGCGCGGCGCGCTGGCCCTGCCCATGGGCCTCTTCAAGGTCCTCGCCTTCAAGAAGATCCGCAAGGCCTGCGGCCTCGACCGCTGCGAGCTGCTCTACACGGGCGCGGCGCCCCTCTCCGCGGCGACGGCCGACTACCTCAAGTCCGTCGACATGCCGCTGTTGGAGGTCTTCGGCATGAGCGAGTCCTGCGGCGCCATCGCCGTGTCCGGCCCCCTCGACGGCGCGCGGCCCGCGGGCTCCTGCGGCCGGCCGCTGCCCAACGGCCACTGCGAGATCGCGCCCGACGGCGAGGTGCTCTGGCGCGGCGGCAACGTCATGCGGGGCTACGCGGGCCGCGCCGAGGCGACGGCCGCGGCGCTCGACGACGGCTACCTCCGCACGGGCGACCTCGGCGAGCTCGTCGGCGGCTTCCTCCGCATCACGGGCCGCAAGAAGGACCTCATCATCACCGCGGGCGGCGAGAACGTCGCGCCGGCGCCCGTCGAGGAGCGCTTCTGCGACGCACTCGGCGGCCACGCGGTCCTCGTCGGCGACCGCCGCAAGTTCCTGTCGCTGCTACTCGCGCCGCCCGAGGGCGGCGCCGCGCCGGCGCCCGACGCCGTCAAGGCCGCGCTCGACGCCTACAACGCCGCGGCCATGTCGCGCGCGCAGCGGGTCCAGAAGGTCTCCGTGCTCCCGGCGCCCTTCTCCGTCGAGACGGAGGAGCTCACGCCGACGATGAAGCTCAAGCGCGCCTTCGTCATCGCCAAGTACCAGTCCCAGGTCGACGACATGTACCGCGACGGGCCCACGATCGCCTACGGCGCCGCGGTCGGCGAGAGCAACTGATCCCCCCCGGGCCGCGAGCGGCGCCAAGGCCGCCTCGCTCGCCCCTCGCCTGTGCTGTTAAGGAGCTGAATTCGACCAGGTATCTCGCCGCGGCCGCACCTCCGTGAATAGGGCGATGTCCCCTCGACGGGTGGCGCATGCTGCGCCAGCCCAGGTGAGCCGACTTCCGAGCCGAACTTTTGAGCCGACGGTAGTTCAACAATCGCAGCAGGTTGAAGCGTGAAGAAGCGAGCGCTCGATAATTTTTTTCATCGTCACGATGGAGCCCATCCTGACGGCCCATTCGATGCGATCGCGGCGACGATGAGGAGACACACGGTCGCGCTGCTGCTGCTGCGGCTGCGGCCGTGGGCGGCCTTCACGCTCGTGCCCTACCGCGCCTGGAAGCACCCCTGGCGCCTCGCGAAGCTCGCCGGCGACGACCCGCAGCTCGCCGGGCTCGCGCCGGACTCGCGCTTCAACCAGTCGTCGAAGGTCGCCTGGCTGCCCGCCGCGGCCGACGACACGGCCGAGGCCGTCGCGCTGCGCACCAACTTCTACGGCCGCGGCGGCACGCTGGAATTCGTGCACGTGCACAAGTGCGGCGGCCTCACGTTCAGCCACGTCGCGCCCCGCTTCGTCTGCCCGTTGGCGGACGGCCCGGCGCCCTGCGGCGGCTGCGTGAGCCCCTGGGGCTACAGGAACCACCCGAAGACGCTCGGCGCGTGGGCGGGGGAGACGTGCGGCGCGCCGTGCTGCGTCATGCGGCAGCGGCCGAGCCTGCCCGCGCTGCTCGACGCGTGGCCCTTCGACGCGCGGCCGCGCTTCGTGAGCGCCTACGAGGAGTTCGACGCCTTCGCGCTGCCCTGGGTCGTCGGCGCGACGTTCAAGGCCGTCATGGTCCGCGATCCCTACGCGCGTTTCTTGTCGGACGTGCAGTTCGAGTGCCGGATGGGCCGCGCGGCCGACGTCCCGACGGCGGCGGCGTCCCTCGCGCGCAACGACACGCTCGCGCGGCGGCGCGCGGCGCGGAACCGCATCGCCGCGGACGTCGTGCACCGGAGCGCGCTCGGCGACTCGGGCGACGACGGCGCGCGGCTCGCCGGGGAGCGGTGGGCCGCGGCGGAGGCGGGGCTGCGGGCCTTCGCCTTCGTCGGCGTCGTGGAGCACTTCGAGCGGTCCATGTGCCTCCTGGCGCGGACGGCGAGCCGCGAGGGCGCCGCGGTCTGCGCCGCGTGCTGCGTTTCGGCGGAGGGGCCGCGGCGCCTCGGCGACGAACCGCGGCGCCTTGGCGACGCGCTGCCGCGGCGCCTCGGCGACGCGCTGCCGCGCATCAACGCCGCGGCGGACCACGAGGACCACGAGCGGTGCCGGGGCGAGCGCAGCGACGCCGACGAGGCCGCCTACGTCGCCGCGCACGCCGCGGATTACCAGGTCCACGCCGGAGCAGGAAAAGAGTGATTCCACGTCGCTTCAGGTTCCGCGCGCGATTGGTCCAGAGAAAGGATCCGCACTTCGAGAGCGCTCCGAGAGATGATCGCTCGCGAGTGGAAAATGACCGAGATAGGATCCTCCAAAGTTGGAAATTTCGCATCCTTTTCCTGCCCAGGTCCACGCCGTCGCGGTCCGGCTCTTCGAGGCGCGCTGGGACCTCGCGGAGGCCGAGGGCTGGGGCGCGGCGAACGCGTCGTCCTGCGGCTGCGACTTCGTCGCGCGGGCGGAGGCGCCCCCGCCGGCGGAGAAGCCCCCGCCGGCGGAGAAGCCGCGCGGCCGGCCGCTCGCGCAGCGGCGGCCGCCGCCGGCGCCGCCGGCGACGACGACTACGCAAGCGACGCTGCGGACGATCACGAAGCCCCGGGCGACGCCCGCGCCGACGGCGCAGCCCGCGCCGCCGCCCGCGGGCGCCCCCGCCGGCGCCGCCCCCGTCGTCGTTGCGGCCGCGGCGGCCTTCGGCGTCGCGTTCGCGGCGACGAGCGCGTGGCTCCGGCCGCGGCGCTGACCCTAGAACACTTACCCGAGGTAGACGGACCGGGTCTCGCGCGCGTTCTGGCGGCAGACGGGGCACGCGTCGACGCCGCCGGCGCAGTTCGCGCAGAGGCACAGGTGGCCGCAGTCGAAGATGGCGACGGTGCGCGGCGCGACTTCGCAGACGGAGCACTTGAGCTCGTCCTCGCTGATGCCCTCGAGGTGCGCCACGTCGAGGCACCGCTCGAGGCGCGTCGAGAACGCGAGGGCCCTCGCGTCCGCGCCGTACGCGCCCGCGGGCCCCCGCAAGGCCGCCGCGAGGTCCCCCAGTTTGAGGATCGCGCTGTCGCGCACCTTGCGCTCGCTCTCCTCGGCCTTCTCCAGCGCCGCGTCGCGGGCCCGCTCCGTGTGTCCGGTCGTGTCGTCGAGCGTCGTCCGCCACCTGGGCAGCAAAAGAGAGATTCAACTTCGCTTCGTGAGTGTTCCGCGCGCGCGCGTTCCGGAAAAAGCATCCACGCTTCGAGACCGTTCCGAGAGATGATCGCTCGTCCAAAAGTCAGCCGAAACGAGTGGAAATCGGCCGAGATATGAGCCTTTGAAGTTGGGAATTTCGCTCTCTTTTGCTGCCCTGTCCGCCACGCGGCGATCTTGTACAATCCCTTCCGATGCTGCACGAGCTCGGCGTTCTTCTCGGCGGCGACGCGCGCGGACGCCGCGTGGGCCGCCTTCTCCTCGCGCCAGGCGTCGTACTTGGCGGCCGCGCGCGCCTGCGCCTCCGCGGCGGCGCCGCGGCCCGCGTCCAACGCGTCCAACGTCGACTTCAGCTCGTCGTGCCGCTCCAGGAACGCGCGCTCCCGGGCCTCGAAGTGGCGCACCCGGGCGAGGAGCTTGCCGACCTTGCGCTCGAGCTTGGCGACGGAGGCCGGGGAGGCGGGCGGCTTGCCGAGGCGCACGGGGCGGTCCATTCCGTCGTCGAAGAGCTCGTGGAGCGAGTCCCGGCTGACGGTGCGCTGGGACATGGGCGGGCGGCCCTCGTCCTCCTGCGACTGGCAGAAATACATCAGCAAGTCACTCCCGGAGAAGATCTGTTCGAGAGCGGCCTCATGCCGTGGCTAGCCAAGCCCATGTTGTGGTGCCAGCAACGTGCCGTGCTCCTTGCCGCGATCGGATCTCGGTGATGTCAGCTCCAGCAAGCATGGCCCGGTCGCCGCTCCTCTGCCTGGCCCTCGCGGCCGTGGCCGCGGGCTTCGCGGGCCCCGGCGCGTCGTATGCGACGCGCACGTCGCTGCGGTCGACGCTCAATCCCATGGAGGAGCTGGCCCAGCAGGCCAAGGTCGCCGCCTACTCCGTGTCCGCCGCGGCCATCGCGACCAAAATCTCCATGAAGATCGCGGAGAAGGAGGACCAGCTCCCCGAGGGCACGGTGCCCATCGTCCAGGAGTTCATGCGCACCTACCTCGAGGTCGTCGCGCAGCAGGGCCGGGACCCCATGGACAAGGTGCCCGTGTTGAAGCAGTACCTCGGCCTCGTCGAGGACCAGCTCGAGGACCCCTTCGTCTTCGCGCCGTACCACACGGCCTGGACGGCGGCGAACGGCGCCGCCGTGGACCACCTGGAGATGGACACGGCGTTCATGGAGCCCATGCTCGACCGGAGCGACAGCGTGCTCGTCGGCGAGGCGAATTTGGAGAAGATCGAGGCGCAGCTCGCCGCGGGCGACAACGTCGTGCTGCTGAGCAACCACCAGACGGAGGCGGACCCGTCGTGCTGGTCCTTTATTCTCGAAGGCAAGCACGAGGCTTTAGCGCGGTCCATGATTTTAGTGGCCGGCGATCGCGTGACCACGGACGTCGTCGCGGTGCCGTTCTCCAAGGCGCGGAACCTCCTCTGCATCTTCTCGAAGCGCCACATCGAGAACCCGCCGGAGCAGAAGGCGACGAAGATGCGCCACAACGCCAAGACCATGTCGGCCATGCTGAAGCTGCTCAAGGGCGGCGGCCAGTGCATCTGGGTCGCGCCGAGCGGCGGCCGCGACCGGCCGGACCCGGAGACGGGCAAGTACGCGGTCGCGCCCTTCGACGACAAGTCCGTGGAGATGTTCCGTTTGATGGGCTCCAAGGCGGGCACGACGACGCACTACTACCCCGTGGCCATGATGACGCACCGGTTGTTTCCTCCGCCGAAGAAGCTGACCGCGGGCGCGCTCGGCGAGCCCCGCGTGGCCATGCGCGGCTCCGTCAACGTGAAGATCGGCGACGAGATCGACTTCGACGAGGTCACGCGCCAGGGCTGCCTCGTCGACGGCTTCCCGGAGGGCTGCGTCGACGACCGCGAGGCCGCCGCCGCCGCCGCCGCGGAGTACGCCCACCTCCAGGTCAAGGCCGGCTACGAGGACCTCGTCGCGGCCGCCCTCGCGCGCGACTCGCCCTACTACGACAACTAAGGGGTTGCTACGTACGCTCGGGAAGGCGCGGGTCGCGACGTCGGCGGCTTGTGTGTTGCGAGGCTTGATGGTGCCGCGGCCAGCGCGGCTGAGGCCGCCTCCGAGTCGGTCTTAGGGAACTGGCGGCCGAATTCGAGTGTTCGGGTGCCCGGGCGACGCAAGCTTTGGGCCTCCGCGCTCGCACCGCTGCAGCTGCGCGCCGCAAAGGTCGACGCTGGAAACAGTGAAGCGATCAAAACTCAGATTCTGATAGCCTGGATTTAAAAGTCAACATTTTTGTTGAACTTCAGCACTTTTGTTGAAGTTAAATCTTGCGATTTCTTGACCCGAACCAGCGACCGCGCGCAAAAAGTCTTCGCAAACGTGCAATCAACGCGTGAGTATCATCAACCTTGCTTTGATACGACCATAACCCAATTTTGGCCGTGATTTCAGCCCGCGGACCTCCGCGACACCGCGCCCGCGCGCGCGGTCGACGCACAGCCTCTATGGAGGACTAATGACTCTGGCTCCGCCGGCCGGAATTCGATGATTGATCTTTATTAATTAATTTCCTACGGGCCGGCCTAGATGTACGTTGATCGCTTCACTGGCTGGAAACCTGCAACGGACCGCGGCGGCGTGCGAGGTAGCAGTAGCAGACGATCGTGTGCGCAAGTCTGTGGACCGCACACACTCCGACTGCAAACGATGAAGGTCGCCGTCGCCATCGCGTGCGCTGCGGGCGCTGCTGCCTTCGTGTCTCCGACGCGTTCCGCACTTAAAGCGCCGGCCCGCGTGGCCGCGCCGGCCCGCGTGGCGCCGACGGCCCTCGCGCTGCCCTCTTTGCGCCGCGGCGCGCCCAAGACGGTCCTCCGCGCCGAGGCGTCCGCGGCGACGGAGAAGAAGGGCTTCCCCGTCGACGTGCGTAGGCCGAACCCGCCCCCGCGCGCCGCCGCCGCGCGCGACCGCTCCCCCCGCCGCCGCGCGCGGCCGCTCCCGCGAAACCCCGCGCGCGCGAAACCCGAGTCCCCGGCGCAGATCCCGCTGCTGTCGTACTTCTTCTTCTGGTACCTGGGCAACTACTACTACAACATCGCCAACAAGCAGGCGCTCAACGCCGCCGGCGGCGCCCTGGGCTACCCCATGACGATCTCGACGCTCCAGCTCGGGCGGGACGAGGGTGATTCAAGATCGCTTCAACACGAGTGTTCCGCTCGCGATCGTTCCAGAAAAAGCATCCACGCGTCGAGAGCGCTCCGAGAGATGATCGCTCGCCCAAAAATTAGCCGAAACGAGCGGAAAACGGCCGAGATCGGAGCCTTTGACGTCGGGCATGTCGCACCCTTGTCCCGCCCAGGCTCCAGCTCGGCATCGGCGCCATCTACGCGATGTTCCTCTGGATCGCGCCCGACGCGCGGTCCTTCCCGAAGATCAAGCCCGCCGACATCGTCAAGCTGCTGCCCGTGGCCTTCTGCGCCGCCGGCGCCCACGCGGGCTCCGTCTTCGCGCTGTCCGCGGGCGCGGTGTCGTTCGGCCAGATCGTCAAGGCCGCCGAGCCCGCGTTCGCCGCGGTCATCGGCGTGTCCCTCTACGGCAAGCAGATCAGCAAGGCCAAGTGGCTCTGCCTCATCCCCGTCATCGGCGGCGTCGTCCTCGCGTCGCTCAAGGAGCTCGACTTCGCCGTGTCGGCGCCAGGGCAGGAAAAAAGAGCGAAATTCCCAACTTCAAAGGCTCTCCTATCTCGGCCGTTTTCCGCTCGTTTCGGCTGATTTTTGGACGATCGATCATCTCTCGGAACGATCTCGAAGCGTGGATGCTTTTCCGGAACGCGCGCGCGCGGAACACTCACGTTGAAGCGACGTTGAATCATTCTTTTCCTGCCCAGGTCGGCGCTCGTCGCCGCGTCGATCGCGAACGTCTTCGCGGCGTTCAAGGGCAACGAGAACGCCAAGTGCATGGAGACGCCGGGCCTCAAGGACCGCCTCGGCTCCGTGGGCAACCAGTTCGCGTTGACGACGATCCTCTCCTTCCTCATGTCCATCCCCCTCGTCATGGTGACCGGGGAGTCGTTCGCGGGCTTCTCGGAGCTCTGGAAGACGAACCCCGTCGTCCGCCTCAACGTCATCGCGTCGGGCCTCTTCTTCTACGGCTACAACGAGCTCGCGACCATGACCATCAAGAAGACGTCCGCCGTCACGCAGTCCGTCGCGAACACGGCCAAGCGCGTCATCGTCATCGTCGGCGTCGCCATCGTCATGGGCGAGAGCCTCAACCCGCTCAAGCTCGCGGGCTGCGCCATCGGCATCGGCGGCGTCTTCCTCTACTCCGTCATCGACCAGCTCGTCGGCAAGAAGAAGTAGGGCGGCGGGTCACGGCGCCGCCAGGTCTCGGGGGGCCGCCGCCGGGCCGCCCCCCGGCCACCAATTCGCCGGCGCGCGCGCGCGTTTCCGCGCGGCGCCGCGCGCCCACACACGCCGAGTTTATCGTTGACGCATCTAGTGGACGCATGTCTGGCGCGGGCGACGGCGACGCGTCGGTTCAACCCTCACGCTTGAAAGCCTCTTGAAGGCTTCGTGCGCTGCGCCGAGCACACATGAGCGAAACGTAGCATGCAATGAATCGTCGATCAACGTTCCTAAGGGGGAATTCTAAGCTTCTGTGAGCCATCGAATTTATATACGTTTAATTCCGTTAAATCTGGGGCTGTTGTAAGCCATTCGATCACCCAGCTCGTTGACAAATGCTTCTAACTAGTTGACGACGGCAACGTGTTACGTTGCACTGCTAATGAAATCGCGAGCTGATCGGCTTCTCGCGGCGTCGGCGCGTCGGCCTCGCCGCGTCTCGCATCGTCGCAGCGGCGCGCCGCCCGCCTGCGCCGCGCCTCCCGCGCCATGTCGGGCTACTACGACGGCTACGACGGCATCCCGGACTACGGCGGGCCGCGCCACGAGGGCCGCGACCACCGCGTCGTCGACACGAAGGACGTCGTCGCCAACGACTGGGTGGGCCACGCCTACGACCCGGCCGGCGGCCTGACGTACGCGAACCCGGCGGGCCCGAGCCTGCCGGAGTCGCGGAAGCGGCCGCGGCCGCCGCCGCCGCCGCCGCCGCCGCCGGAGGAGGACGACATCCCCGGCTACGTGCCCTCGCCGTCCGTCGCCGCTTTGATGGGCGTCGACGTGCCCCTCGTCGGGTCGCGCGACATGACCGTCGGCGAGGGCCGCGACTGCTCCAAGGACTGGCGGTGCCCGCAGTGCGCGAACGTCAACTACTCCGGCCGCAAGTGGTGCAACCGGTGCCGCGAGCCGCTGCCGCGGGACCCGGAGTTCGTCGGCGCCACGGGCAAGGTCTCCGCGAACCCCTGGGCGAACCGCGACACGTCCAAGGACTGGCGCTGCCCCGGCTGCTCGAACCTCAACTACGCGGGCCGCCGCGCGTGCAACCGGTGCCAGATGCCGCAGCCCGAGGACCTCAAAGACGGCGGCAACGTGCAGACCGTGCCCATCAACCCGGCCATCGCGCCGACGATCAAGCTCGGCGCGGCGGCGCCGCCGCCCGCGGACCAGACGCGGAACCCGCAGTGGGACGGCCGCGGCGGCGGCTTGGGCCCGCTCCTGCCGCCGCCGCGCAAACCGGGCGTCAACGCCGGCGCCGACCGGCCGGACCCGGGCCCGCGCCGCGACGGCGCCCAGGACTGGCGCTGCCCGACGTGCAACAACGTCAACTACAGCGGCCGGCTCACGTGCAACAAGTGCAAGTACCCGATCCCGCGCGACGGCTACGCGGCGGCGCACGGCGGGTCCCTCGAGGGCTACGAAAGATTGCGCGTGCCCGCGGACGAGGGCCGCGCGCCGCGGACCGCGCGCCGCGATTCCGCCTTCGACTGGAAGTGCGGGACCTGCGCGAACACGAACTACAGCGGCCGCCTCGCGTGCAACAAGTGCCTCAAGCCCGTGCCGCCGCCGGGCTACGTCGAACTCGTGCCCCCGACGGCGCGGGGCTTCCCGGGCGGCGACACGGGCCACGGGCTGCACGACCACGGCTACCACGACGAGGGCGCGCGGCCCTTCGGGGGCCCGCCGCCGCCGCCGGGGCCGGCCTACGGGTTGCCCGTGGCCCAGCACGCCCTCCGCCACGCGGTGGCGGACCCGCACGAGCTCGACCGGCGCTACGCGGCCGCGCCGACGTGGAACGACGTCCTCGAGCTGTGGTCCGGCCGCGGCGCGCCGACGGCGGCGAATTTGGCCAACGCGCTGAGCCGTTTGGGCAAGGTCGGCGGCGACGACCGGTCCGCGGCGCACGCCGCGCGCCACGACCGGCGCTTCGCGGCGCTGCTGCGGGAGCTCCGGAGCCGCATCTGCGACGACCCGGAGTACCTCGGCCCGCGGCAACTGGGCAACGTCGCGCACGCCTTGGCGCGCCTCGGCGCGGGCAAGGGCCACATGGACGGCGAGCGGGCCTTCCAGTCCCTGGGCCGCGCGGCGGCGCCGCGCGCCGCGGCCTTCGACGCGCGGGAGCTCGCGAACACGGCCTGGGCCTTCGCGACGGCCGGCGTCGACGCGCCGGAGCTGATGCGCGCGTTCGCGGCGCGCGCGGCGGACAAGGTGGTGGACTACGACGTCCGCGAGCTGGCGAACCTCGTCTGGGCTCTGGCGAAATTGGGCAAGGGGCCGGCGTCGTCGCCCGAGGCCGCGCGGCTCTTCGAGGCCGCGGCGTCTTCCGCGGCGGACCGCGCGGCGCAGCTGTCGTCGCAGCAGGTCGCGAAGCTGCTCTGGTCCTACGCGGCCGTCGGGCTGCGGCACGAGTTGCTCTTCCACGCGCTGTGCGGCCGCGCGCGCGCGGACCTGGCGTCCTACGGCCCGCTCTCGGTCGCAACGTCCGCGTGGGCGCTCGCCAAGGCGGGCCACCGCGACGACGCGTTGATGGCGGCGCTCGCGGGCGTCGTCGCCGCCAAGGCGTCCGACTTCGGGCCGGGCGCGATCGTCGACGCGGCCGACGCGCTCGACGCCGTCGGAGGGCACGCGGCGGCGCTCGACGCCGCGCTCGCCGCGGCCGCGCGGCGCGCGGCGGCGCTCGCGACGCCCGCGCTCCTCCGGCTGCTCGACGTCCTCGCGCGCGGCGCGGGCGCCGAGTCGATCCCGGCGTTCCAGAGCGCCGTCGGCAGCCGCGCGGACGCCCTCGAACCGGGCGAGGTCGTCGCGTTCGCGCAGGGCTTCGCGAAGCTCCCGGGAGACCCCGGCCGCGTCTTCGAGGCGCTGGCGAGCCGCGCGGCCCAGCGGCGCACGTTCCTCGACTCGCAGCAGAAGCTCGCGCTCGAGGCCGCGCTGCTCGAGAAGGGCAAGGCCGCGCTGCTGCCCGCGGGCTTCTTCCGCGACGCGCTGCGGAGCGACGCCGCGTTCCAGCGGTCCGCGGACGAGCCCGCCTTCCTCGAGGAGCCCGACGAGCCCGCGCCGCCGCCGCCGCCGCCGCCGCCGAAGCCGCCCAAGGTCGACGCGCCGCTCCTGCCGCCGTCGCTCACGTCGAAGCTCGCCGCGGACTTCGACGTGGGCATCCCGGGGTTCCGGAAGTAAAAAAGCGTTACACCGTCGCGTCGCGCCAGTACGCGAGGATGTGGGCGAAGGCGACGTCGGGGAGGCGCCGGTTCCGGAGGAGCGTGTCGTAGAGGCCCGCGGACGACCGCGTCGCGCGGCCCCGGTCGACGAGCGACGGCAGCTCGCGCCGGAGGGCGAGGAGCTCCGCCGGGGCGGCGGCCCACGCGCTCCATCCGCCCGCCTTGCCCACCTCCCAGAGGAACCGCTTCGTGATTCCGCCGTGAAGAGCGCGATATATGGCGTCGTTGCCGTGTACGTCGCGCGCGACCAATGAGGCCCCACGGCTCAGGAGCAGCTTGCACATGGCGTAGTTCCCGCACTGGGCGCCGAGCATGAGCGCCGTGCTATCTGTGTGATCGGGATCATCGACTCCGGCGCCCGCGTCGAGCAGGATGTTCACCGCCTCGCGTTGGTTATACATAGCCGCGATGTGGATCGGCATGTCCCATTGTTCCACATCACCGCGCCTAGCGGAGACGCTGGCGCCCGCCGCCAGTAGCCATCGCATGGCGTCACACCAGCCGCGGTCCGCTGCGTGATATAGGGGGGGTGCTCCAAGCTGTGGACTTATATCAGGATCGTAGTACACATCCGTCGCGGTTACCGTCAGGCTGCAGGGTAAGTCGAGGTCGAAGTCAATGGAGTCATTATAATCGCCCCAGATCTGTGCGAGGAAAGAACGCTGCGCGTCGAATGGAGCCTCCTCTGCGTCAAGCGGGGCATCCAGTGCATCGAGATGCTCCATGCCGGACCTCCGGCTCTATTTGAAACAGCAAATTGAATTCATCATTCGGCTCATAAATTCATTGAAGCGAAGCGAGTGAAGCAGCCCGACGCCCACGGCGTCGCGCTCGTCGCGCCGTCCAGATGTGGCACCGCCATCTCACCCTGGCCCTCGCCTTGGCGGGCACCGTCGCCTACAAGCCGCGCACGCGCAAAGGTCGAACGGACAAGGACGTGGAACGGAGAGAGGCGTCGAGCGCGAGCTTCGACAAGATGCACGACGACTACTGCGCCGCCACGGACAAGGATGTGAGCCCCGTCTGCGCGGACTGGGCCAAGCGCAAGAACATGGAGCACCGGGGCAAGGCGCCGAAGCCCCACAAGGACGAGGTGAAGGCCATGCACGAGAAATTCTGCGGCGACCCGAAAAACGCCGCCGCGTCGCAGTGCGCGCGCCGCGCGCGCGCGGCCGAGACGAAGCAGCTCCCGGGCTGGAAGGAGTCGCGCGGCAAGGAGCGGAACCGGCGGCTGCAGCGGGAGAGACACAAGGAGGCCACGGGCCGACGATGGCGCGGCGCGCTGCAGCCCGATCTCTGAGCGGCGCGCCGCGAAGCGACGAAGCTCTTGAGGCGAGAAGAGCACTCGAGCGAGCTCCACGACGTCGAGGCGTGAAGCGCCGTCGCGCGCCGCGTCAAATCGCGAAACGTCTTCGGTCGCTGACGAAAAACCGAACATATTTGCTACTACCAACGTCACTCTTCGGAGAATGACGACAGCCTTAGAACAGATACCCGAGACCCCCCGCGCGGCGACGAGTCGTCGCGAGTCGGTCGCGCGCTCGGCGGCTCACGCGCGCGCCCGCCGCAGGTACCAGTTTTCCTGAGCAAACAGGCGCCGCTGAGCTTTTAAGCTCGCGGTCGTCGGCGCCGTCTTCGTCTTCGCGATCGTGTGGGGCCAGCTGCTTCTGAAGCCGCCCCCGGCGCCGACGCCGCGGCCCACGGCGGCGCCGGTCGCGGCGCCGAAGGTGCCGATCCCGCGCGCGCCGCGCGCGTCGACCGCGGCCTCCGCGCGCTGGCCTTCTCTTGAGGCCCCACTTTGCGCATAGCGACCCCGACCTCTCTAAGTTACGTCGTCGCAGGGGCGCCAGGCGCCGTCGACGACGACGGGGGCGCAGCCGAGGGCCGCGACGGGCGGGACGGCCGTCGCGCGGTAGGCGTCGAGCCGCGCGTCGAGGGCCGCGAGGACGTCGGGGAACTCAACTGCCCGGTCGACACGCTCGCACGGGTCCGCCGCGACGTCGAAGAGGCACGGCGCCGCGACGCACTGGCGCCGCGTCGCGTTCGCGTCCGCGGGCTCCGGCGCCGCGCCGCAGTCGACGACGGAGCGGGGGTGCGCCTCCTGGCCCGGCGGCCGCGTCCAGCCGGCCTCGGAGTCGGGCCGCACGGTCCCGATGCGCAAAAACTTCCAGTCGCCGACGATCAGGGCCTCGCCGTGGACCGTGTCGTTGCTGCCCGGCGCGTGCGCCTCGAGCAGGAGCTCGTCCCGGCCCGGCGCGCCGCGCGCGAGGACGTCGTAGGAGTCGACGCCGTCGCCGGGCGCGAGCGGCGGGTTCAAAACGAGCGGCCCGCCGCCCGCGAAGCGGTAGAGCGTCGGGAACCAGTCGACGGCGTGGAGCTTCGCGCGGGACGCGGACGACTTCGCGACGCCCGGCGCCTTGAGCAGGCCGACGACGCGCGTGCCGCCCTCGTAGAGCGTGTTCTTGCCCCCCCGGAGGGGCCAGTTGTTCGACGCGGTGCCCTCGTCGCCGTTCGTCGGGCCGCCGTTGTCCGAGACGAAGACGACGACCGCGTCGTCGTAGGCGCGCCTCGCCTTGAGCGCGCCCGTCACGTTGCCGACGGCCTCGTCCAGGGCGCTCACCATGCCGCTCACGTTCCGCCGCGGCCCCGCGGGGACGTGGCCGAAGGGTTCGAGGTAGCGCGCGGGAACTTCGAGCGGCCAGTGCACGTTCTGCCAGGCCACGTACAAAAAGTAGGGCGTCGACGCTGATGCCACGACGTCGACGGCGCGGTCCGTGAAGCTGTAGGCGGAGTAGACGCCGTCGTAGGCCCACGCCGTCGTTTCGTTGTTCGCGAAGTCGTAGGCGCCCGCGCAGTCGTGAGCGAAATAGTCCTCGGCGCCGGACCAGTAGCCCAAGAAGGAATCGAAGCCACGGCCCGTGGGCAGCGCCGCGCGCGTGTTCTGGCCCAGGTGCCACTTGCCGACGGCGTGCGTTTCGTAGCCGAGCCGCCGGAGCGCTTCGGGGAGGAGCTCGTACTCGAGGCTTAGGTGGTAGGCCGTGCCCTGGGCGAAGGGCATGTAGATGCCGTGGTGGATCGCGTGGCGCCCGCTGAGCATGGACGCGCGGCTCGGCGAACAGACGGGATGCGTGTGGTAGTTCAGGAGATCGACGCCGTCGGCCGCGAGGGCGTCGAGGCGGGGCGTCGGGATCTGCTTGGAGCCGTGGAAGCCCACGTCGTTGAACCCGAGGTCGTCGGCGACGAGGAAGAGGATGTTCGGGGCCGGGCTTGCCGCGGCGGCCAGCGCCGGGAGGGCGGCTCGGAGCGCCGTCCTGGCGGCACGCGCGCACGAGCTCCGCGAGGAGATCCGGGTCGTCCGCGAGGCGCCGGGCGCACGCGTCCGCGCCGAGGTTCGACGCGAGCTGGTCCGCCGCGGCAGCCCCATCGTCGCGCCCCGACGGGCGACGCAAACCTCAACGCTTTGCGCAGAGCTGCGGCTGAAGTCGTCGTGCTTGAAGCTGCGTAGTGACGGCCCATAGGCGACGGGCTGGTGCATCAGCTCGGTTGCCAGCAGAGCCAATGTGCGACCAGCGACGAGATGGCCGGCGGCGCGCGTGCCTCGCCGCTGCCTGCGCGCTCGCGTGCCTCGCGTCCGTCGACGGCTTCATCGCGCCGCTGCGCCTGAGCCCGTCGGTGGCGCGGCCGTCGGCTTTGACGGCCATCGAGGACGACCTGCTGCCGGCCCCGGACGCGGCCCCCCGCGAGGAGCGGCCCCGCTTCGAGGGCCGCGGCGGCCGCTTCGAGGGCCGCGGCGGCCGCGGCGGCGGCCGCGGCCGCGGCGGCGGCGGCGGCGGCCCCGTGATCCGGCTCAGCAACCCGATGCAGCTCGTCAAGAAGCCGCGCGCGGGCCGGGGCCGCGGCGGCGGCGGCGACTTCGGCCGGGGCCGGGGCCGGGGCCGGGGCGGCGCGGCGGCGCCGCGCATGCCGCGGCCGGGCGGCTTCGGCGTCGCGGGCGCGGAGGCGCCGGCGCCGGACGCGGCCAAGGGCCCCGGCCGCAAGGGGGGCCGCGCGGCGCCCCGCGGCGGCGACGACCGGGACCGGCGGCCCGCGCGCAAGGTCTACGGCGCGCCCGGCGGCGGCCGCGGCCGGCCGCAGCAGTTCCGCGGCGCGCGCGGCTCGCTCAAGCGGAAGCGGAACAAGAATCGCGAGGCCAAGGTCAAGTCCGTCGAGCCGCCCGTCGTCATCCCCGACGAGACCGTCGCCGTCGGCGCCCTCGCCGAGAAGCTCGACAAGTCGGGCGCGGAAGTCGTCAAGGTGCTCATGCTGAAGATGGGCGTTTTGGCGTCCGTGACCCAGAACATCGACGGCGGCACCGCGCGGAAAGTCGCCGAGGAGCTCGGCAAGACCTGGGTCGAGTCCGAGGCGGCGCTGGCGAGCGTTGAGGGGGATGACGACGACGACGACGACGACGACGACGACGACGAGGACGACGAGGAGCAGCTGTCGGCGATGGACTACGGCGCCGCGCTGGACGACGACGACGCGGCCTCCCAGCTGCCGCGCGCGCCCGTGATCACGATCATGGGCCACGTCGACCACGGGAAGACGAGTTTGCTCGATGCCCTGCGCCTGACGAACGTCGCCGAGGGCGAGACGGGCGGCATCACCCAGGGCGTCGGCGCGTACCAGATCGACGTCCGCGACGACCAGTCCGTGACGTTCATCGACACGCCGGGCCACGCGGCCTTTAGCGAGATGCGCGAGCGCGGGGCCAACGTGACGGACATCGTCGTGCTCGTGGTCGCCGCGGACGACGGCGTCAAGGAGCAGACCGTGGACTCCATCGCGTGCGCCAAGGCGGCGCGGGTGCCGGTGGTCGTGGCGGTGAACAAGATCGACGTCGAGGGCGCGGACCCGACGCGCGTGGAGAACGAGTTGATGTCCTACGATTTGGTGCCCGAGGAGAACGGCGGCGAGACGCTGTTCGCTCGGGTGTCGGCGCGCGAGAAGCTGGGGCTGGACGATTTGCTCGACAAGCTCTTGCTGCAGGCGGACCTGCTGGATCTGCGGGCGAACCCGGACCGGTCGGCGACGGGCATCGTCGTCGAGGCGGGCGTCAAGAAGGGCCTCGGCGTCACGGCGACGACGCTCATCCAGCGCGGCACGCTCCGCGTCGGCGACTGCTTCTGCGCCGGCGCCGCCTGGGGCAAGGCGCGCGCGCTCCTGGACGAGCGCGGCGACGCCGTCGACGCGGCGACGCCGTCGACGCCCGTGCAGCTCGTCGGCTGGCAGTCGGGCGCGGACACGGTGCCTTTGGCGGGCGACTACCTCCAGGTGGTCCCCGACGAGCAGACGGCGCGCAAGCTCAGCGAGGCGCGCGCGGAGCTCGCGGCGCAGCAGCGCGGCGCGAAGCTCCGCGACGCGACGGCGTCCGCGTTCCTCAACCACGTGCAGTCGTTCGGCGGCGAGGGCGCGAAGGAGGAGCGCAAGTTCACGGTGCTCATCAAGGGCGACACGGCGGGCTCCGTCGAGGCGCTCACGAGCTCCCTGGAGGCCCTGGACATCCAGGACGACGTGTCGCGGGTGAAGGCGACGGTGGTCTTCTCGGGCGTCGGCGACGTCACGAAGTCGGACGTCGCCGTCGCGTCCGTCTCCGGCGCCTACGTCATCGCCTTCAACGTGGCGTCCAACGCCGCCGCCATCGAGGAGGAGCGGCGGCTGTCGGGGGCCGTGCGCACGCGCTACTACGGCATCGTCTACGACGTCTTGGACGACGTCGAGGCGCGCATGCGCAAGGTCCTGTCGCCGACGCCCGACGGCGAGCTCGTCGGCACGGCCACGGTCAAGCAGCTCTTCGACATCGGCAAGCTCGGCAAGGTCGCCGGCTGCGGCGTCGACACGGGCTACATCCGCCGCCAGGCGAACGTCCGCGTCATGGCGGGCGACACGATCAAGTTCCAGGGCAAGCTCCGCACGCTCCGCAACGTCAAGGTCGACGTCGACAAGATCGAGGCCCCCAACGACTGCGGCCTCTCCTTCAAGGACTGGGAGGACGTCGAGGTCGGCGACGTCGTCGAGTGCTACGACGACGCCTAGGAGTCCGCGCGCGCGCGGACTCCCCTCCCCCGACTCTAACCGCTCCGTTCGACGTCTTTTTTTATGTCCGCGGGCGCCCGCCGGCGCCCCCGGGGGGCGGCGGCCGCGCCCTAGAAGGGCGCGAAGGGGAGGCCGCCGGCGTACGTGCCCGCGAAGCCGAGGTTCGTCAACGCGGGCACGGAGCCCGGGATGACCTCGGCGGCGACGAAGGCGGCCATGGCGAGCATGGCGAGGCGGCCGTTGGCGATCTCGCTGTTGCGCATGGACGCGAGCTTCTCCGCGTCGTACTTGGCCTCGAGGACGCCGGCCGTCGTGCCCGTGAGGCGGACCTTGCCCGGCGTGCCGCCCTGGAGGTAGTGGGGCTTCTGCGCCTCGAAGACGGACTCGATGCCGCCGATGGCCGCGACGATCTGCTGCTTGCCGTCGGCGGGCATCTTGTCCCACGCCGCGAAGAGGTCGCCGTCGGCGAGCGACGCGAACGACGTGCCGTCCAGGTCCACGGCGCCCGGGAAGTGGGCGCCGACGCCCGTGACGACGCAGCCGAGGAACGCCGCCATGGCGACGCGGCCGTGCTTGATCTCCGCCGCCCGGAACCAGAGCAGCGTCTTGTCGTTGACCTTGTCCGCGATGCCCATGGGATCGAAGTAGCCCGTCGGCGCCTGGATGCCGTCGGGGACGAGGGCCTTGGCGTCGGCGCGCAGCGCCGTCGACGACGCGGCGGGCGCCGCCGGCGCGACGAGCGCCGACGCGCTCGACGCCAGGAGGCTCAGGGCGACGATTTTACGGGCCATGCTTGATGCTTGATGCTCGAGATTTGGTCGATCCAAAGCCTTGTTTACGTGCACCGCCAGGCCGGCGCCGCCGCCGACGCCCGCCGCAGTCCCCGAGCTCGTCGGGAGGGAGCGAGGCCGCCCCCGATCTCGGCTAGCCCCGGGCTGGCGGCGAGGCACTCCTGGCAACTCGTCTCGTGCTCGCACCGGGGTAAAGTGGCGCAGATGGCACCTTCCATCGCGTCCGAAACCGTGCGGTCGTCGCCGGAGCCGCTGCGGACGACAGGCTACGGGCAATGTCCTGGGTGCTAAGGGCCCGCCATAGATATCGGGACGCGCCGGCCACGGCGCGACGGCGCCTCAGATTGCATGGGCAGGACCGGCAAGTGGGACCGGCCGCAAGATGGCGACCATGGCGACTCTGGGCTTCGCCTGCCTCGCGGCGCTCGGCGCCGTCGACGGCCTCGTCCTCGCGCCGCACCGCGCGCTCGTCTACAAGCCCGCCTACCGAAAACAGCTCCAGTGGCGGTCGGCGCCGGCGCGGCCGCGGCGGCCCTACGCCACGGTCGCGCGGCAACCGTCCATGCTCTTCGGCATCAACAAGCTCTTCAACTGGCTGAGCCCGACGGACATCATGTTCACGCTCGTCCTCGCGGGCTTCCTCTACCGGCGCCTGCGCCAGGTCCAGAGCGACCCGACGGCGGGCCTCGAGGAGGACGACGACGACGACGGCGCGGTGAACCGGGGCAACAAGCTCTTCAAGCAGCTCAGCGGCGCCAACTACCACTTCGTCGCCCAGTCGGAGGAGGACATCGCGGCGCTGCGCACCATGCACTGCCGCAAGTGCGGCTTCACCATCTTCGTCGCCAAGAACCGCATGAAGCGCCACTTCGCCGCCAACGGTTTGCAGTGCATGAACTGCGGCGCCGTGGCCCCGGACTTCTACAACGAGAACGACCCCGACGACCCCATCAACTTCGCGGGCGCGACCCTCGACATGATCGGCGACGAGTCCGAGAAGGGCGCCAAGGCCGCGGCGGACGCGGCCGCGGCGGACGCGGCCGCGGCGGCACGCGGCGGCGGCGGCGGGCGGGGACGCGGGCGAGGCCGCGGGCGAGGCGGCCGAGGAGGGCGTCGCGGAGGTCGTCGCGGAGGCCGCCGAGGCCGAGGCCGCGGGCGAGCCCGGGCCCGTGTTCAAGGCCGTCGTCGCGCAGGAGGAGGAGGCGGCGGACCGCGTCGCCGCGGAGCCCGCGGTCGTCGCCGAGGCCCCCGCGGTCGTCGCCGAGGCCCCCGCGGTCGTCGCCGAGGCCCCCGCGGTCGTCGCCGAGGCCCCCGCGCCCGCGCCGGCCCCCGCGCCGAAGCCCGCGTCGAAGAAGGCGGAGGACGACATCTTCGCGGAGCTCGGGATCTGAGCCCGCGCCCGAAACAACGCCGCGTCGTCCTAAAATCCCGAACCTAGGGAGCCGCGCGCCCCGCCTAGGACGACGGCGGCGGCGGCGCCATGCCGTTGGTCGTGCCGATGAGGTTGTGGAGGCCGAAGCCGAACTCCGTCGCGAGCTCCGCGAGGACCTCGGCCTCGTCGTCGTCGAACTTTTTGTTCAGCGCGGCGACCGCGGCCTCGAAGTCGGACGCGGAGCAGCCGATGGCGATGAGGGCGTGCTTGAGGGCCTCGATGGGCTTGAGCTCGACGGCGCCCCGGTTGTAGTCCTCGATCTTCTTGAGCTTGGGCCCGGCCGCGCCGCCGGCGGCGCCGCGGACGTGCGAGCCGCCCAGCGCGACGTTCCCGGCCCCCGGCTTGATGTCGGAGTGCTTGCCGTGGGCGCAGCCCTTGATCTCCATGAAGGACTCCCAGTCGTAGGCCTTCTTGTGGGGGCAGCAGGACCAGTACTTTGCGGTTTCGTGGAACACGGGCGGCTTCGTGTGGTGGCGGCACTCGCCGTCGAAGTTCGTGCGCTCGCAGTACTTCTTGTTGCACCCGAAGTTCTTGCAGGCGCGCATGGCGTCGGGCCCGCCGGCGCCGGCCTCGAAGCCGCCGGACTTGGCGCCGCCGCCGCCGAGGCGCGTCGGCGGCGCGCCGCCCGCGCCGAACTTGACGTAGAGGTCCGCGCGGTCGTGGACGCGCTCGCAGACGACGGCGTGCATGGGCACGACCTCGCGCATCTCCGTCTCGATGCGCAGCTGGGACCCGTTGAGCTGGTTCTCCGGGTGCTTGGCGTTGTAGTTTTTCACGAAGGTGTCCATCAGGTTCGAGCAGGGGCCCTTCTCCCACTTCTTCGGGAGCGTGATCTTCAAAGTCTGCCGCAGCGACTCCGCCGCCGGCTCCTCGTAGTGGATGAAGACCTTCATGGCGCCGGACGCGGCGACCGCCGTCAGGTCTACTTCGGCGGCCGGCGAAGCGCCTCGTCGTCGTCGAGCCCCGATGGACTGCATCATCTGCATTGTTGCAGTGTTGTGCAGTGGTCGCGTCGCCACTTCCGTCGCGACTTTCGTCGAGCTTTTCCGATGGATCTTGCGGGGTCGGGAGGAGCGATCCTCCGTGGCGCGCCTCGCCGGCCGGTTCGCGCGCGTCCGGCCAGTCGCGGCGCGTCTCCGCGTTCGCGCGGCGCCGACCGCGCGGCGATGATCACCAGCATCGATGCGCCGCCGCGAGCCGAAGCCCGACGCGAGCAGTCCGGCGGTGTCCAGTCCAGAGCGCCGGAGCGGTCTCGCCGAGTGGAGCGCGCGATGTTGAGCTTCAACGTGAAGGAGCAGTGCTCGACACTGTGAACTGAGCATGGGCCTTCCATTGCTTTAGCTGCAACAGCGTCGGCATGCAAGATCCACCGGGGCCGCCGGACGCCGCGGCGGCGACGACCGCGCCGCCGGAGCCGCCGGACGCGGCGTCGACGACGACCGCGCCCCGCGTCGCCGTGCGCGCACCGCGAGACACCACGGCCACTCCGATCACGCCCCGCGAGCTCGAGGCCATCGCGGCCTGGGAGCCGCGCCGCGTCGCCACGGGCGACAGGGCGGCGGCGCTCGCCGCGCGGCGCCTGCGCAGCGGCGGCGACGTGTCGGCGAACGAGAACGACTACCGGAGCGGCTACCGTTCGTGGCGCCGGGGCAACGCCGCGGGCGCGACGGAGTCGAGCGCGGGGCCCGTGGGCTGCCACGCCGACGTGGACAAGGCGCCGGCGCCGGCGCCGGCCGCCCGGGGGCCGAAGCTCCCCGCCGTCAACCTCCGGCACATCGTCGACGCCGACGACGGGCCGCGCGCGTTGTCGCACCTCAGGGAGGCGGTCGCGCACTTTGGCAAGTTCGTCCGCGCGCTCCGGGGCCTCGCGCTCCGCGCGCTCGGGCTCCGCGACGCGGCGGCGGCGCGCCACGCGGCGACGCGGCGCGCGGCCGCGGCGACGCTCGCCGCGCCGGGCCGCGTGCGGCCGCCGCCGTGGGAGAACCCGGACGTGCAGCGCGCGGGCACGCTCCGCGCGCGGCGCACGTCGCAGTGCGCGACCTCGGCCGACGCCGCCGCGCGCTGGGTCGCCGCGCCCTGCGACGCGGGGCCCTTCGCGCAGGACCTCAACGGGTCCTGGCGCTTCGCGCTCTTCGACTCGCCGACCAAGGCGCTGGAATTCGTCGAGCGCGGCGGCGCCGCCGGCGACGCCATCGACGTGCCGGGCGCCTGGCAGACGCTGGGCTACGACACGCCGGTCTACACGAACATCCAGTACCCCATCGCCGTGTCGACGCCCCCGGTGATGCCGCGGCGGAACACGACGGGCGTCTACGCTAGAACGGTCGTCCCGGGCGCCGCGGCCGCGGCCGGTGTCCTCGACGGGTCGCGCCGCTGCGTGCTCCACGTCGGCGCCGCGGACAACGCGGCCTTCGTGTTCGCGGGCGGCGCCTGGCGCGCGCTGTGGAAGGACGCGCGGCTGCCCGGCGAGGTCGACGTCACGGAGGCGCTCCGCGAGGCGCTCGGCCGCGGCGACGACGGGCTCGAGGTCGTCTGCGTCGTCGTGCGCTGGACCGAGGGGAGCTACCTCGAGGACCAGGACGCCTGGAAGCTCAGCGGCCTCATCCGGGACGTCTACGCGTTGTACCCGCCCTCGGTGTCCGTCTTCGACGTCTCGTGGGAGCTCGCGGGCGACGGCGCCGTCGCCGTCGCCGTCGACGTCGCCGCCGTCGGGCGCGCCATGGCGGGCCGGCTCCGCGTGGCGCTGCGCGCCGCGGGCGAGCTGCCCCTCGAGGCGTGTCGCGCCGCGGACCACGGCGGCGGTCCCGTCGTCGCGGAGCGGGAGGCGCCGCTCGTCGAAACGACGGCGGACGCGCGGCGCTGCTACGAGGACGACGACGCCGTCGAGGCGGCGTCGAGCGCCCATGCCATAACCCTGCGCTGCGACCGGCCGCTCAAGGTCTGGAGCCCCGAGCGGCCCTACGTCTACGTTTTGACCGTCGAGCTCCTCGACGACGCGCAGACGGTCCTCCAGGCCGAGGCCTGCTACGTCGCGCGGCGCGACGTGGCCATCGGCGACGACGGCGTGCTGCGGCTCAACGGCGCGCGGCTGACCGTCGCCGGCGTGAACCGCCACGAGACGTGCCCGGTGCGCGGCGGCCCGCACGTGCGGCGCGACGACGCGGAAAACGACGCGGCGCTGCTCAAGGCGGGCCACTTCAACTGCGTGCGCCTGAGCCACTACCCGCAGGCGCCGGCCTTCTACGCGGCCTGCGACCGCTGCGGGCTCCTCGTCGTCGACGAGGCGAACGTCGAGACGCACGGGTGGGCGCCGTACCCGGGCGAGCTCGCGGATTGCGCCCGGTGGCGCGAGGCGTACTTTCGGCGGGTCCAGCGCATGGTGCTGCGGGACCGGAGCCACCCCTGCGTCTTCTGCTTCAGCCTGGGCAACGAGGCGGGCTACGGGGGCGCGCACGACGACCTCGCGGCGTGGCTCCGATCCGCGGAGCCGGCGCGCCTCGTGCACTACGAGCCGGCGTCCTGGGCCGCCTACGAGGCCGACGCGGCGGCGCTGGCGCCGGCGGAGCGCGGCCGCCGCGACGCCGCGGGGCCGCCCGCGTGGGTCGAGCCGCCGGGCCGCTACGACCGGTCGGGGGTCTCCCGGCGCCAAACGGCGACGGATTTTCTGTGTCCCATGTACGCGCGCGTCGACGAGTGCGCCGCGCTCCTGGACCGGGATGCGCGCGTGTTGCAAAGGAAGCGGCCGCTCATTCTGTGCGAGTACGCGCACGCCATGGGCAACTCGGGCGGCAATTTGGCGGACTACTGGGCCGCGTTCCGCGCTGTGTGGAATTCAAATCTTCAACTCGACTTCAATGTGAGCGTATTCGAATGTTTTGACACAAGCTCTTCGGCCGGGCTTCGAGAGCTCGACGAGAGCAATCGATTCGTCCAAAAATTAGCCGAATCGACTTCGATGTGACCGAGCTAGAGAATTCTCAAGTTTGGTCAGGACCACCCAAACCAGTGGTTGGTTTCCACACAGGTTCCGCGACCCGGACATGCCGCGCCTCCAGGGCGGCTTCATCTGGGACCTCGCGGACCAGGGCCTGCGGAAGCGGCTCGGCGCGCACCTGAGCTTCTGGGCCTACGGCGGCGACTTCGGCGAGCTCCCGACGGACGAGACGTTCTGCCTCAACGGGCTCCTCTTCCCCGACCGGTCGCCGAAGCCGTCCTGGCTCGAGGCCGCGGCGGTGCAGCGGCCCTTCGGCGACCCGGAGGTCGTGGGCGTCGAGGCGCGCGGCGATTCGCGGCGCCTCGTCGTCCGCGTGCCGAGCCGCGCGTCGCGGGCGGGCGTCGAGCTCGCGCGGCGCTTCGAGTTCTCCTGGCGCCTCGAGAGCGCGGGCACTTTGATCGCCGAGGCGCCGCCGAAGCCCGCGGACCACGAGGCGCCGCGCGACGCGCGGGACCGGGCCCGCGACGCCGCGCTCGAGCTCGGGCCCGCCGCGCGCGTCGCCGCGGACGTGCCCGAGGCGGCGCTGCGGCAGCGGCGGCCGGGCAAGGCGACGCTCACGGTGGCCGCGTTCCTGCGGCGCGACGAGGCCTGGGCGCTCCGGGGCGCCGAGGTCGCGCGGGCCCAGGTCGTGCTCGGCGACGACGTTTTAGGGCCGCCGGGCGCGGCGCCGCCGGCCGCGGGCGACGCCTTCGGCCTGCGCGTCGTCTCCGCCACGGCCGCCGAGATCCGCGTCGAGTCGCGCTGCGGCACGGTCGGCGTCACCATCGACGCCGATACCGCCTTGCCCGTGGGCTACGACGTCAACGGCGAACCCGCGCTCCTCTCGGAGACCCCGGCGGCGTCGGGAGGTCCCGCGCGCCGCGCGTCGTCGTTCCGGAGCGGGTCGAAGGCGCCAGTGACGGCGGCGGCGGTCGATCGCCGGTCCGCGCTCGCGCTCGCGGCGTTGGACGGCGGCGGCGCGCGCGCGCCGCTCCACGCCGACGAGCTGCCCGTGCTCGAGGCCGAGGTCGGCTACGGCGAGCTCGGGTTCCGGGGGAAGCTGGGCTACGAGGGCAAGCCCGTCGTCGTCGGCGGCGCGCCCCGGCGGCGGTCCCTGAGCGCGCACGCGAATTCGGTGGTCGTGCTGGACCTCGGCGCGGCGGCGGGCGCGGGGTCGTTTTCGAGATTGACGGGCCGCGTGGCCATCAACGACGACCAGCGCGAGGACTCCATCGGCGGCGTCGTCGGCCGCCAGTCGCCGTTGGTCTTCGAGGTCCGCGACGCGGAGAAGAAGGTGCTCTGGAGCAACGCGGCGACGCCGCTGGCGGAGCCCGGCGCGTCGCAAGCCTTGGACGCGGACCTGCGGGGCTGCGGCGGGACGCTCGAGCTGCGGGTCCACTCGCCCTGGGGGCCCGTGGACGTCGCGCACGCCGTCTGGGTCGACCCGCTGTTGTGGTGGGCGCCGCCGGACGACACCGGCGCTCCGCCGCCGTCGCCGGGCCGCGACCGCCTCGCCGCGGCCGCGAAAAGGTACGCGAGGGGGCCCGTGAAGCTCTGCTGCGAGCGCGCGTTCACGGACAACGACCGGGGCGGCTACGCGGCGGCCTGGCGCGCCGCGGGGCTCGACCGGCCCCTGGAGCTCGCGCGCGCGGCGCCGCCGGCGGGCCTCGGCGCCGTCGGCGACGGCGGCGGCGCCGCGCGGCTCCGGCGCCTCGACGACGGGTCCCTGGAATTCGTGGCTCGCCTCGAGTTCCGGCCCGCGCGCGCGGACGCGAAGACGCTCGCGCTCTACGCGCGCCTCGACGCCTGGCACGGATCGGCGAAGCCCGGCGACCGGGAAGTTCTGGCGCCTTTGGACGCGCGCGCGACGGCCGCGGCGCACCTCTGGGCCGCCGCGCGGCGGCTGGCCCACGCGGACGTCCCGCGGGGCGTCGAGGTCTGGGTCCCCCGCGTCGCGCCCTGCTCGACGCACCCGCTCGGCAGCGCCATCTCCGCGGCGCAGGAGAAGGCCATGGACGACGACGACGAAGACAACGGCGCGCGCGCGGCGCCGTCGCCGCGGCCGCCGGGCGACGCGCTTTTGGCGACGTGCGAGGCGTCGACGCGCGTCGGCGCCGACGGGTCCGTGACCGTATCCGCCGCGGATCTGATCTTCCGCACCGCGGACGCGACGAAGGCCGCCTGGCCCCCTTTGCCGCGCCTCGGCCTCGCGCTGCGGCTGCCGCCGTCCGTGGGCGACGTCGCCTGGCTCGGCTTAGGCCCCCACGAGTGCTACCCGGACCGCAAGGCCGCGGCCCTCTTCGGGGCCTTCGGCGGCACCGTCGACGACCTCTTCGTGCCCTACCTGCGGCCGTCGGAGTGCGGCAACCGCACGGGCGTCGAGCGCCTCGCGCTCGCGTCGCCGTCGCTGGCCCTGGGCATCGCCGCGGACTTCGGGGCCTTCGACTTTAGCGCGTCCCGCCACGGCGACCGCGACCTCGTCGAGGCGCGGCACCAGCACGAGCTCGGCGACGGGCGGCGCGGGAAATTTCGGTCGTGTTTCGCTCGTTTCGGCCGATTTTTGGACGAGCGATCGTCTCTCGGAACGGTCTCGACGCGTATATCCGGAACACTCACGTCGAAGCTCCACCCTTTCCCCGCCCAGGCGACGGCGGCGCGGTCCACGTCCACGTCGACCGCGCGGTCCAGGGCGTCGGCGGCGACGACTCGTGGACGGCCTGCGTCCACGAGCCCTACCTCGTCGTCCCGCCGCCGCCGGAGGCGCCCGCGGCCTTCACGTTCGCGCTCGACGCGGTGCCCCGCGACGCCGACGACGCGCGGCCGCTGCTCGACGCGGTCGACGGCACGTCGAAGAAGCGGGTCGGCATGGTCCGCCGGTCGTCGTCGGGGAGCCTCGACGACGCGGGGCTCGCGCCCTCGTTTTAATCGCAGTTGGTACTTACTGGCAATATTCGTCGTTTGTCACGACGGTCGAGCCTCTGGCGCGATCGCGCGCGACTCCCGCGGTCCAGATTCCCCGCAGCCCTTCCAGTCAAACGAAGTAGTAGTAACTCGCCATGGTACAAGTAGTTACCTTAGCGACGTTGAAACTCTCTTCCGAAACGCCTCACGGAGCTCGCGGCCGCCGGCCCGCCTCACGGAGCCGCCGGCTCGCCTCGGGCGCGCTCGGAGCGTTCGTCGAAGCGCGCTTCACGGCGCGCGTCACGCGCGAGCTCCCGGCGCACGGCGCACGCGACGGACCGGACGGTGCACTGGCGTTGCAATGGGGAGCGCTTTCGCGCGCGCCTTCTTGCGAAGCTCATTGTCGAGGGCCACGAGCTTGGTGGCCTCGAACTCCTCGTATGGAACTTTCTTGTCATATTGCAAGAGCACACCTTCAATGAAGCGGTAGAATGAGACTCCCTCGCCCGGCTGGTAGGGCCTGTAGTTTCCTGTCAAACCCAGCTCGAGGAGAGCCCACGTGTCGTCGTCGTCGATCGGATATCGCCACCATGGAGGCGGATCGTCTCCGGGGCCCCAATCCCACACGCATTTTTCCAGCAGCTCGGCCAGCTTTTCGGGCCCGATTGCCTCCGCGTATTTTTTACACAGCTCGCGCCGTGTGGGGCCAGGCCCGGTGCGCGTCACGAGTTGGGACGGCGGTGTTGCCCAGATGTCCTCTCGCTCCGTTCTCGCTTCGCCGCTGCGCACATCATCGAGGGCAACCTGCTCGTCCCAATGAAGGGAGGTATCCCTTGCGCCGGCGGGTTGCCACTTCATGCCGCAATTTCGACCGACGCACACACAGGGCCCACACACGGCCTGAGACTGCCTGAGGCAAATCTTGTGGCATTTTTTGGCAAGGAGAGACGAGGAGGCGTGTGGACTGTGTAGTCAAGCTTAGCATAACATGTCCGATGACGTGCCCGATGAGATGGATGAGTGCGTGCAGCTCGTTGCGTACGTCGTGGAGCAGCTTCCCCAAGAAGAGATATCCCACTTCCGCGAATTTGTAGATGAGCTGTGGGCGGCGCACTCGGAGGGCGAGTTTCCGTCGTTTCGGGAGGCGCTGCTACAGCGAGGCGAGGCTATCGTCGGCGCGGAAGTCTGGCGCCGTGCCCTTGAGAAGGAAGCTACAAGTTTCAAATCCCGGAATGATTCAGCGGACTACGACGTCGAGTCGTGGATCAAAAACGCGAAAGAATTGAATTTGCCGGACTATTTTAGTGACTCACCACGGACGCTGAAGAAATTGAATCCTCGAATCTGCGAAATGGGGTGCTGTTATCCCGTTTCATGGGGAAATGGGCAACACCGATACTACGAAGCGAAGAAGATGTGCGAATGCTGCCACTCGGCGTTTTATTGTACGGAGGAGTGCCACCGAAATCACTGGGCGGCGCACAAGCGCAACTGCGGAAAGCACGGCATCGCGCGGCAATATCGCGGCGAAGCTTCATGGATTGCCGCAGTCGCGTGGTCGTGTGTTCGAGACGGGTCGCGCGTCTGGTTTCCGCTCTGCGTGCACCGCGACGACACCGTTGACGACGTGAAGAAGAAGATCCGGCGACGATTCGACCTGGCCCTCTCCGATCAGGTGCTCAAGGCTCGGCCAGCTTGCACGGCTTCCTTCGTCGAGATCGAGATGGGCGGCAGCTTCTGGCGGGTCCCAGGGACCGGGCGCGGGACTCTCGCGGACTTCGAAGTTTCGCGCAAGGAGATATTGATCCTCGAGACGGAATGCGCGGGACCGAAGCCCACCTGTGAGTGGTGTCGCCAATGCATCGGCGGCGCCTGCCGATTAGAAGCCGGACCCGACCCCAACGACGCCAAGCATTTTCCGCCGCTTCGCCAGAAGCCCGAGGCTCAACGCAACGACCCCTGCCCCTGCGGCAGCGGGAAGAAGTACAAGAAGTGCTGCGGCCGGTAGCTCATAACCTAGGGCCCGGGTCCTTTTGGGCGAGCTTGCGCTCCTTGAGGTACTTCGCCGAAGACGACCTCAGTCGAACTTGAAGTCTCACTGCCAGTCACGGTGGCAGTCGGACCTCAGGACGTCGACGAGCGCGCGCCCTCGTTTTAACCGCATCAGACGCAGTTATCGCCGCCGTTGCGCGCCGCGCGCAGCGCCTCGGCGCGGTCGCGCTCGAGGGCCGTCGCCGGCCCGGCGTCGAGGAACGCGAAGTCGCGCTCGAGCGCGAGCGACCGCGAGAGCGCGACGTTGTCCGACGCGTTGAGCACGACGTGCCACCAGCCCGCGGGCACGAAGACGACCTCCCGGGGCTGCTGGACGAAGATTCTCGCGCCCGGCGGCGGGCCGCGGTCCCAGCGGAGGAACCAGTCGGCCGCGGAGAGGTCGTAGTCGCCGCCGCTCGTCGGAAAGAGAAACGACCGGTCCGTTCCCGGCGGCAGCACGGCCCAGAGCTTGCAGCCGGAAAGTAAGACGACGTAGGCGCAGGTCAGCGGGTGGTCGTGGACGGGCGTGCCCGACCGCGCGGCGCCCGCCAGCAGCCAGCCCCGGGGCAGCGGCCGCTTCGCCTCGTCCGCGCAGCCCAGCAGCCGCGGCAGCGCGTCGTCGGCGAGGCAGGGCGGCGGCGGGCCCAGGCCCGCGAGCGCGGCGCGCTCCGCGGCGTCGAAGACGTAGAGCGGCGCGTCGTCGCCGCCGCCGCCGTTTTTCGCGTAGGCCGCGTAGGCGGCCGCGCTGACGCGCGCGGACGACAGCGACGCGCGCGCCTCCCAGGGCCCGCCGTCGACCTCGAGGGGCGTCGCGCCGCCGACGCGGGCCGCGAGGCCCGCGAGGCTCCAGTCGCCGGCGACGCCGGGCCAGCCGTCGACGAGGCCGGCGACGACCGCGGGCTCCTTCGGGCACGCGGCCAAACCCTCCGAGCCGTCGACGCGCGCGCTCGCGTCGACGAAGTCGCGCGCGGCGCCGTCGAGGCGCAGCGTCACGCGGCGCGCGCCGACGTCGATGTCCAGGCGCTCCGCGAGGCGCCGCGGCCGCCAGGTCGCCGGCGACGCCGGGCCGGCGAGCGTGCGCTTGGCGGCGGCGATGGACAGGTCCTCGGCCGGCGCGCGGCGGCGCGCGCGCGCCTCGCGGATCGCCTCGGCGCGGATCGCCGCGGCCGACGACGCGTCGAGCGCCGCGGCCATGGATTGCTTTGCTCGTTTAGGGAGAGCCCATCGTCTTCTCCAAATCTCAAGGCTTGCCGTTCACCTTGACCTTCAAGGACGAGACGGCTAACGTTTTGCGGCGAGATCGACTCCGTCGACGACACACGCGACGTCGACGCGCTCTTCGCGGTTCCAGCGCCTCCCATTCAGGCTCGCCGCTGGAGACCGCCAAGGGCCCGCCCGCGGGGGCCGCGCGCCCGCGCCACCGTGGACCCCCGTCCCAGGGACCCGTCGGGCACGCCCGGCCAGGCGCCGGGGTCGAGGACGTCAGCCCTGCATCAAAAGGACTCAGCAGGGGTTGTCGACTGCGCTCGAGCGCGCCGGCATGTCACGCTGCAACATGGCGTCAACTTCCGTCCACAATCGTCACTCCGACACAGCTTGGCTTGGGCCCGACAGAATGGAGAAGCTCGTGCAACTGTGGGCCCTCTCCGCGGCCGCGGCCGCCTTCACGACGCCTACGGCTCCCCGCGCGACGCCGGCCCTGCGCTCGACCTGGCTCAACCAGGGGTTCGTCGAGTCCGTCAAGGCGGGGCCGAACGGGTCGCCGTTTCATGCGAACTACGCCGACGTCGACCGGAGCGAGGTGCAGCTCGCGGCGCAGACGACCATGAACGCGCTCCGGTCCAAGGGCCGCATCATCGACAAGACGACCGAGGAGGCCGCGTGGGAGGCCGCGTGGATCGCGGCCTCGGTCGCGAACCAGGAGCGGCTCAAGAACAATCGCGACGCGGCGGCCCAGGTGGCCTACGGCGTCCAGGTGCCGCCCATCGGGGGCGGCAAGGACGCGACCCCCGAAGCGTTCGTGGCGGACAAGCCCGCGTTCGTGGCCGCGCTCCGGTCCAGCGGCCGCGGCTTCGACCAGGAGACCGAGGAGGCCGCGTGGGAGGCCGCGTGGATCGCCGCGTCGGTCGCGAACCTCCAGCGGCTCAAGCTCAAGCAGGACGCGGCGGCCCAGGTGGCCTACAACGTCCAGGGCAACATGCCGCCGCTCGGCGCGGGCGCGATGCAGATGCAACAGCAGCCGATGCTTCAGCAGCCGATGCTTCAGCAGCCGATGCAGCAGCAGCCGATGCAGCAGCAGCCGATGCAGCCGATGCAGCAGCAGCAGATGTACCCGCAGCAGATGCACCCGGAGCAAGTGCACCCGCAGCAGATGAATAACCCGCAGCCGATGCGCCCGCAGCAGATGCGCCCGGAGCAGATGCACCCGGAGCAGATGCGCCAGGAGCAGATGCACCAGGAGCAGATGCATCAGCAGATGATGCACGAGGAGCAGATGCACCAGCAGATGCAGGCCCAGCAATACGGCGGTTCGTCGATCGGGGGCAGCGCTTGGGGCAACTCGGTCGTCCCGAGAAACGAGCCCGGCGTCTCGAACGCGGCCGCGTCCGGCCGGCGCGCCCGCTCGCAACAGCGCGGCGGCGAGCAACGCTTTCTCCCGGGCCCGGGAGGCTACGAGGGCCCGGGAGGCTACGGGGGCCCCGGAGGCCCCGGAGGCTACGAGGGCCCGGGAGGCTACGGGGGCCCCGGAGGCATCCCCCGAAACGACTTCGGCGGAGGCGTCGGGCGCGCGGCCCCGCGCGCGTTCGGCTCGGGCGCGGCCGGGCGCGCGGCCGCGCTCCAAGCCGCCCGCGAAGCCGCCGCGCGCCCGAGAATCGGCGACGTCAACGGCGCGGCCCGAAGCGGGGGCGCGCTGCGGGCCGCGATGGTCCGCGACTACCACGACGGCCTCGTCTAGGGCCGCCGCTCGGTAAAAGCTCCACTGTGCGCGCTGGCCACCCCCGGACGAGTCCGACCAGGCGGCGGGGTCGACGACGTCACGCCCTGAATGAAAGGGGGAGTCGACTCACAAATCCCGCCGGCCGCGGTCGCAGATACGGCGGCGAGCTCCCGGCGGCCTATGGCGGCGGCTTCAACCCCAACCAGCTCACGACGCTCCCGGGCAACGGCGTCCGCGTGCGCACGGCCCAGGGCTTCAGCTTCGGCGCGGAGCAGCCAGCCTGATTGAACGGCAACATGGCTGAGTTGCTGTGACGTTTGGACCGTCACGGCGTGTTCGTGGAGATGGCCCGCCTGCAAGTCGCCCTAGACGGCACGATGTTCAAGCGCGCCACCATCATCGCGACGCTCGCCCTCGGCGCGCAGGGCTTCGCCCCCAAGTCATTGCCGCGCGCGTCGACGCGCGTCTCCGAGTCGTTCGAGGAATACATGAAATCGCGCGAGGACGCCCCGGCGGCCCCCGCGGCGCCGGCCGCGAAGACGGCGCCCCTCGTCGTCGACGTCGAGCCCGTCGGGGCGAAGCCGGCCGCGTCCCCCTTCACGGCGGACTACGTCGACGTCGAGCGGCGCGAGGTCGAGCTCGCGGCGCGGACGGCCCTGGACGCGCTTCGGTCCAAGGGCCGCGGCCTCGACCGGGCGGCCGAGGAGGCCGCGTGGGAGGCCGCGTGGATCGCCGCGTCGGTCTCGAACCTCGGGCAGCTCAAGCTCAAGCAGGACGCGGCGGCCCACGTGTCCGCCCACATCCAGCCCTACGTCCCGCCGCTCCGGCTCCCCGCGCCCGGCGGCCCCGAGCAGGACCCGCGGGATCCGCGCTTCGCAGCGGGGCCGGCGCCGCCCGGCGGCGACGTCCGCGGCTACGCGCCGGACCCGCGGGATCCGCGGGATCCGCGTTTCGCGGCGCCCGCCCCCGGCGGCGACGTCCGCGGCTACGCGCCGGACCCGCGGGATCCGCGCTTCGCGGACACGCCCGCGACCGCGCCGGCGCAGCGGCGTCGGGCGAGCGTCGCGCGGGCGAAGGCCGGCATCGAGCAGGAGCAAGTCCGGGGCCCCCTCTCGAACGAGGGCAACTACAACCACGACGACGCCTACGGCCGCGGTCAGGTGGGCTCCAAGACGCGCGCGGGGCCGCCGCCCGCGGGGTGGGAGGAGCGCTACGAGCGGGATCGCCTCGCGGCGGCGCGGGGGCCGCCGCCCGCGGGGTGGGACGCGCCGCCCGGCGGCGGCTACGCGCAGGACCCGTGGAATCCGGGCTTCGACGAGGGGCGGGCGCCGCCGGGCGGCGATTTCGGCGGCTACGAACAAGGCCCCAAAAAGCAGCGCTTCGGGGGGGCGCGGACGCGGAACGGCGGCCACGTCCGCGTGGTGCCGCCCGGCGGCGACGTCCGCGGCTACGAGCAGGAGGACCCGCGGGATCCGCGCTTCGCGGCGGGGCGGGCGCCGCCCGGCGGCTACGAGCAGGGGCCGTGGGATCCGCGCTTCGAGGCGGGGCCGGGCGGCGACGTCCGCGGCTACGAGCAGGGCGCGTGGGATCCGCGCTTCGAGGCGGCGCGGGCGCCGCCGGGCATGGAGGGCCGCCGCTACGCGCAGGGCCCGAAGAAGCAGCGCTTCGCGGGTCGCCGGAACTACGACCAGGCCGACGCCTTCGCGCACGGCGGCCCGCAGCCCCGACGCTCTCGGGGCGGGCGCAATCGCTGGGACAGCTCTGTCGTCCCGAAAAACGACCCGCGAAGCCCGGCGATGATGCAGGAAATGATGCAACTCCCGAACCAGCGCAACCAACGGACGGAGGGGTTCCGCGGCGGCATGGGCCGCTAGGGCCGTAGGCACCCTGTAAGCAATGATGGTGCCCATAGTGCGAGCCCGGTGAAAAGCCAGCTGGGCTGGAAAGCCAGCCACGTTCTCCTTCGAGCTCGTGGGCGTCGACGGCCGCGGCGAGATCGGGCAGCGCGCCCCCGCGCCACCGTGGCCGTGGCCGCGGCCCCCGTCTCAGGGACCCGCGGGACACGTCCGCCGGGGTCGAGGAGGCCAGCCCTGAATTGAACGGACCTGGCAGGGGGAGTCGAGCGACCATAGCCACCGGCTAGCGCGCACCGAGAGGCCTACCGAGCGCGCAGCGCCTGGCCGGGGGTCAGAACCGCGATGATCCGGAATGACGGGGATCGACTCGTACGATCGTAAACGTATGGCCCTTCCAATTCTTCTGCTCGCCGCGGGCGCCGCCGCCTTCCAGGCGCCTGCGGCGCCGCGGACGACGACGGCCCTGCGCGCGACGCGGCAAGGCTGGCTCGCCGGCTCCATGAACTACGTCGACGTCGAGCCGCGCGAGGCCGCGTGGAAGGCCAAGTGGAGCGCCGCGTCGGCCGCGAACGTCGAGCAGCGCGCGCACACGCGGGGCGCGGCGGCCCGGGTCGCCGACGACGTCCGGGCCTACGTGCCGCCGCTCGGCGGCCGCGTCGCCGGCGCCGTCGACGAGTTCGCCGCGGACGAGACGGCAATGTCGTCCGCGCCGGCCTGGCTCGCCGGCAACGTGCTCGGCGAGCAGGCGGCCGCCGAGCGGGCGCTGGCCACCATGGAGCGGGAGCGCGTCGGCGCGGAGGCCCCCGCCAAGGCGCGTCGCCACGGGGCCAAGGCCAAGGCCGTCGTCCGCAGCCCGCCCCGCCGTCGCTTCCTCCCGGGCCCGGGAGGCGTCGTCGACGGCGGCGCCGTCGGGCCGGGCGCGATGGGTCCGGGCGGCGCCGTCGGGCCGGGCACGCCCCGCCCGCACCCCGCCCTGCCCTACGACTACCGCCGCGCGACGCGGGACCCGCATCGCTACCACGACCCCAACGCCGCCTACGGCGAGGGCTTCTTCCCGGCCCGCCGGGTCGCGACGCGCGCGCAATGGGGCAACCCGGGCCTCCCGTGGCTCAACGACCGCTCCGTCGTCCCCCGCCGCCCCGGCCCGCGCGCCGCCCACGGGCCCTCGCGGGCGACTCCCACGTGGCGCCCGGCGTACGACGAGGACATGCGGCAGAACCCGTACGGCGCGAACAGCATCCAGTTCGACGCGGGGCGGAACCGGTGGCAGAACCGCGAGCAGCGCCGGCGCCAGGAGGAGGGCCGGGGCCGCGCGGACTGGCGCCGGCCGCGAGGCGGCTTGCACCGCGAGGAACTCCGCGCCCGCCGCTACCGCGAGTGGAAGCCCCTGAGCCAGGACTTCACCTGAGCCAAGACTCTCAGTAAGTAAGCCAGCCTGAGAGCCGTGGGGTTGCTGTGAGCAGCAGCATGATATCCCGCCGAGCACGTCCGGTGGCAACCGCGGCTGGACGACGGTCCCGAGCTGGACTTCGCGCGCGCGCCCCCTTTAATAACTCGTCCAACATCGCGCGGCCCCCCCTCCCTTCCCCGGACGGGCGCCGGTCGAGCGCGCGTCCCCTTCAATAAGGTGTTCAACATCCACATCAATGAGGTCGGCAGGGCAGCCTCCCGCGCGCGCGCTGGTTCGCGCCGCGCCGCCCCCGCCATGGCCCTGGCCTACGCCCCGGACGGCGGGTCCTTCGGCGACGCCAACTCGCAGCTCTCCTGGGACGGCGCCGGCTCCGTGGGCGGGCGGTCCACCGGCGCCTGGCGCGACGAGGTGCTCGGCGAGTGGCGCGTGCCGCCGGACTGGAGCACGCAGATGTGGAGCGAGGACGGCGTCAAGCACATCGACGACTGCACGCTCGTGCGCATCAACGTCCAGGAGTCGGTCTACGGGCCCTACCGCCAGCGCTTCTCGCGGCAGGAGACGGACGACCAGTGGACGCCGCTCCTCTACCTCTTCGTGAGCCCGCTGCCGTTGAGCGGCGGCAGCGGGCGGCGCTACGTGCTCGAGCGCGCCGAGGAGCCCCACCGCACGCGCATCCGCTGGGACCGCGACGAGAAGCCCCAGGCGCGCGACACGACGCGGTGGCGCGAGCCGCACGACGCGTTCCGCGAGTTCTTCGCGATGCCCGAGCCGCTCCCGGGCCTCACGGAGTGCCACGTGGACTGGACGTCGGCGCCGGACCGCTACATGATCACGCAGAATTACCGGCCCGCGGCGGCCTGGCTGCGGTGCTTCCGCTTCTTCGCGTACACGGCGACGAAGTACCACCTCATGTACCGCGACTGGCCCCGCGGGTCGCCGCTGAGCTTCTCTTATCGTTTGGTCCCGGGCCACCGCTGCCCCGTGGAGCACCCCTGGAAATGCCTCTTCGCCTTCTTCGCCTTCGACAAGCAGGTGCCGGGCACGAACGAGTACGCGGTCCAGTGGTCCGACGAGGGGTTGCCGCGGCTCCGCGTCGGCATGACCGCGTCGGACCGGCCCGAGTGGTCGCCGGAGACGCTCGTCTTCTACGCCCACGACGTGCCCATCCCGACGACGGCGCGCTTCGCCGTGCACTACCGCGTCCGCGACGGCACGAACATGGAGTGCGAGCAGAACCGCATCTCCATCGACAACGCGCTCGGCTCCTGGGTCGAGAAGTTCTGCTTCTACGCCTACCCGGCGCCGACGGTCGAGCTCGACGCCGACGACGGCGCCTCGCTCAACGACCGGTCCCGGCCCTACTAGGGGGCTTCGGTTCTAGGTCGCAGGCGCGTACGTCCGGGAGCCTTCCGGGACGCCGCGGGTCGGGCGAGTCGCGAGCGGCTCGCCGGAGCTGCCGATATCTCGCCTCCTTGAGTTTGCAGCAAGCTCCGTCGCGATGATGACGAGGATGCGCTCGCCCTGCACGATGCTCGCGCTGCTGTGCTCCCTGGCCCTGACGAGCTCGCTCGTCGCGTCCAAGGTGAGCGCGCCGTCGCCCCGGCGCGACGTGTCGGCGGCCGGTGCGGCGACGGACGACGCCCCCCTGCTGCTGCGCGCGGCGCGCGGCGAGGCCGTGGAGCGGACGCCCGTGTGGATGATGCGCCAGGCCGGGCGCCACATGCAGGTCTACCGGGACCTCGTCAAGAAGTACCCGACGTTCCGCGAGCGGAGCGAGATCCCCGAGGCCGCGCTCGAGATCAGCCTCCAGCCGTGGGAGGCGTACGGCGTCGACGGCGTCATCCTCTTCAGCGACATTTTGACGCCCCTGCCGGCCATGGGCGTCGACTTCCAGATCAGCGAGGGCGGCGCCATCGCCATCTCGCCCATCCGCACGGAGGCCCACCTCGCGGAGCTGAAAAAGGCGAATTTCGACGCGGCGACGGCGTGCCCCTTCGTCGGCGAGGTCCTGGGCAAGCTCCGGGACAAAGTCGGGTCCAGCGCCACGGTGCTCGGCTTCGTCGGCCTCCCCTTCACGCTCGCGTCCTACCTCGTCGAGGGCAAGACGGGCACGACGTCCGGGTTCGCGGAGGTGGGGAAAATGAGGAGCGAGCAGCCGGAGCTCCTCCACGGCATCCTCGACCTCCTCGCGGAGAACATCGGCGCCTACGCCTGCTACCAGGTCGAGTCCGGCGCCCAGGTCATCCAGGTCTTCGACTCCTGGGCGGGCCACCTCCCCGAGGACCAGTACCTCGAATTCGCCGTGCCCTACCAAAAGAAGGTCATCGAGGCCATCAAGGCCAAGCACCCGGAGACGCCCGTCATCATCTACATGGCGCCGGACGTCCACTCGAAGGACGGCGGCTTCCTCGACCACCTCGCGGCCTCCGGCGCGGACTGCGTCTCCGTCGACTACACCGTCGACTTCGGCGAGACGCGCGCGAGGCTCCCGGCCGGAGTGGCCATGCAGGGCAACCTCGACCCGAAGATCCTCCGCGACGGGCCCCTCGACAAGATCAAGGAGGAGACGGAGAAGATCCTCGCCGCGGGCAACTGCAACATGCACATCATGAACCTCGGCCACGGCATCGAGGCCGACACGCCCGAGCCGCACGCGAAGTTCTTCGTGGACACGGTCCAGGCGTTCCGCGCCAAGTAGGAGCCCCCGCGCGTAACGCGCTCTCGTGGCCCTGTGTCGTTACAGCCGGTAGTGCCGGATGCCCGTGGCCTCGGCGAACTCCCTGTTCAGGAGCGCGACGACGTCCCCGGGCTCGTGCTTCTTCGGCAGGAGCTTCTTCGCCGACTTCTTGTCCTTGGGGTTCGCGATGGCGTAGTTGAAGGAGTAGGCCTGGGGGTCCGCGCCCGCGGCGATCGCCGCGGACGTCGCGTACTCGGGCCGCGTCGGCGGCGCGAAGTCACGCAGATCGTCGAGCTGCGCGTCGACGACGCGCACGAGCAGGGACGCGCCGCCGGGGACGAGGTCGAAGTCCGGCGGCGGCGCGCCCTTCCGCCGCTTCCGGGGCGCGGCCGCCGCGATCTCCGCGAGCGCGTCGACGACGCAGTCGCCCGCGTGCGCCGCGGCGAGCACCGTCGCCGGGATCGTGCCCCGGAACAGCGGGAGCACGAAGGCGCCGCTGTCGACGTAGTCGCAGCGCCGCAGGAACGCGGACGGCCGCGTGGGCCGCTGGAAGAGCGGCAGCACGGCCCAGTAGCGCCGGCTCGGCGACGTCGGCACGTCGGCGACGAGCCCCCCGCGCCGGCGGTCGTCGGCGGCGTGCGCGGGGCGGATCTCGAAGAAGGCGGCGAGGGACGGCGACCGGGGCTTGTCGCGGAAGCGCCGGGGCCCGTCGAGGAACCGCGGGTGCTGGGGCCACGCGTCGAGGTCGTGCTTGAGCGTGAACTGGGCGTCCTCGGCGAGGGGCGGGTCCCTCAGGTAGAGGCCCGGCGGCGAGATGACCGTGACGACCTTGTAGAGCGACGGCGGGTCGTGCTTCGACGACGGCAGGTTGTTGAGGCCGTCGACGGCGACGGAGAGGCCCAGGTCCGCCTCGTAGGAGCTCTGGCGCGTGTGGGGCAGGATCGCCGTCGGCTTGGGCCGGAGCGCCGCCGCGGCGAACTCGGCGGCCCTGTCGAGCAAGGCCCGCTCGTCGGAGCCGCGCGCGGCGAACGTCGTCGCCGCGACGGCGTCCGCGACGTGGCCGCTCCGCGCGACGCCCGGGTCGCTCCGCTTGAAGCGCCTCCTGTAGAGCTCGCGCTCGAGGGGCGACGGCGCGCAGCGCTTCGAGTCGTAGGCGCCGGACGCGTAGGCCGGCGCGGGGCTCGCGAGACCCAGGGCCGCCCAGCGGTGCTCCGGCGCCGTGTTCCGGCTCAGCACCTCGAGGCCGTCGGGCGTCGTCGGCGCGACCTGGACGCGCACGAGGAGCGTCGCCGCGGCGACGCGCGGCTTGCCGTCGAGCTGGTCGTGGGCCAGGTCCGCGACGCGGGGCGGCTTCCGGTAGATGGGCAGCTGCACCGCGCCCGCGTTGAGGCAGTGGCCCTGGGCGTGCGCGTCCTTGGGCTGGGCCGCGTCGTCGCCGGCGTCGTGGAACAGGTTCAGCAGCGCGTAGCCGACGCACTTCGGGTAGGCGAGCGGGTCGAGCTCGCCGCCCTCGACGACGGCCGTCGGCGCGTCCTCGTCGAGGCCGTCGAGCCGCAGGAGGAGCGTCGCCGTCGGGTCGAAGGCCGCCTCGCGGAACTCGGCGCAGAGCTTGAACGTCGGCGCGAAGCGGGGCCCGCCCGCGTCGCAGACGCCCGAGTGCTCGACGCCGACGGTCGCGCCCGCCGCGACGAGGCGCAGCGACACCTTCGTCGCGCCGCAGTTGTCCGGCAGGCCCCGCGCGCCGTCGACGAAGACGTCGACGCCCGTGCCCGCCATGAAGGGCTCCGTCGACGGCGGCCGCCGCGTCTCGAGGAACCCGCGCTCCGCGTCGACGTCGTACGTCTCCGGCGCGCCGGAGGCGGACTCGTCGTCGTCGCTGAAGGCCTCGAGCACCTCGCCCGCGGGGACGTGCGACGACGCGCCGCCGGGCGACGGCTCCGCCGCCGACGGCGGCCGCGCGCGCGCCGCCGCCGCGTCCGGCGTCGCCGCGGGCGCCGAGAA